ACCGCATCCTGGACTGTCTAGGATCAGTTTACATATCTTACATCTCAATAATTCTCGATATTGAGAGAGTGCAGGTATTTGGGTGAGTAGTGTAGGTATTTGGGTGAGTTGTGTAGGGAAATGGGTGAAATGGCCAAATTTCCGTCGGGATTAATTCGAGGTCCGTCGCGATTATCCAGTTTCGCATACTGGCGCAACCAATTCCACATTTCCACACCTGCTTCTATCTAACCACTGTACTTTAACTCTACTTTGTTTCGTCTTGCAAGTACACACTACACCCTAACCTTGGGCTTCAAACCATTTTAGCGTAGCGGTCGACCCTCAACCTACTTGATCACACTCAACACCCTCGATAGACCCAGCACAACACTGGATATATCAACAGCGAATCCGACCACCTTGAATAGACCACTGCAACTCCATCAAACTCATTTTACAGAAATTCAACTCACGAGAGAGAGAAGAAATGACAATATACTCTTTATACATATACGATCGTCATTGTGATTGTGTATATTATCAAGATTGGCATCGTACATCTCCTATACGACCACCACCTTTCACTAACTTTCGTCCTGGTGTACATCGAATCCCTTCTCCACAATCCATAACGACGAAAGAAAGTATCTTCAACACTAAACGTGTATCGGCTTTGGAAGATGTGGAAAGGGTCGGGAATAGGGAATTGAAAGGATTACCTTTTGATGAAGAATCAAAATTGGTTTATGGTGTGATTTTAAGTTTGAGAAATATGGTGAAGAAATTATCTGGAAGGTCAGTGGATTTTTACGCTAACCTTCCTTCTTCACACTCTTCCTTGTCTCATTTCTCTTCAATCCTCCTGGTGATCTGTCATCCAATGAATATCCATTTCATGTTTCCCGTAACCTCGATGATTCTTATCTTTGTTCTTCAATAGGTCTTAAAGAGTTAATCATTATCAATTTAAGCATGTGAATCAACGAGAGGGTTCAGTCATTTCGAATAAATGGAGAAAGGGTGCTCAAAGAGTGAAGAGAATGAAGAAAGAGATAGAGGCGCTCAAATAGTGAAGAGAATAAAGGAAAAGAGTATAGCTAATGTAAAAGAGACGAAGCTTTCACTTCTTATCGTACCGCACAATATAAATTACATCTCTACGAAACTTTAACAGGATATCGTTTCGTACTCTTATCTGATCCTAACGTCGATAGTTTAAGATTCGTTCTTAAACAAATTTATACCGGTCCATTCTTAGATTATGTGGTAAGGAACCCAATGATCATTATGGATTCTAGAGAAGAAGGTATAGATAATGATTTGGTATGTTATCCATTGTGTTTTTCCATCCCCTTTTTTTTATTTATAAAAATGTTGTTCTATTCCCTCCCTCCCTTTTCACAATTTTTGTTTTACCTTTTTTTTCACTTTTCTTCTATTACTCAACCATGTAAAGAAAAACTCTCTCCCTCCACCATTCTGGTCTGGTGATCAACCTTTCGTTGATCTTCGAAACACCTCTCACCATACATGTGTCCGTGGTCAAAATCGACTGATGAATCGCTAACGACCAGTTCCGATCTGCTGTAGACCGTCATATGCGTAATCTATCCATGTTCTCATGATCCATCTTCTTATGGTGAATATGTATGTAAATATCAATAAGAATTCATGATCACTTTGGAAAAAAATGTTTCACCGGTGAATAAGCAGTTTGCATAAATCATCTAAGCAAGTCAATCCTTTGCACTAGCCAACATTCCCCATGCACCACGCACAGTCCAATTTACACATTATTTGCTTTTCTTCATCGTCCCTTCGTTCTTCTCCATCTACTAAAATACCACACATCCTCCATTACTTACCTTTCCATGCGACACTCTACCTTCACCTCGTCAATCATACCACCTTTTTCCTTGACTCCCAGGTAAACTCGGTCTAGCACGTTTGACAGTCGGTGTTCCCTCTGCATCTTGAACCTCGAAACCATCCTTTATCGGCGTTTCTTCCCTAACATCACCCAATTCCGTCGGTCCTGAGACCGCTTCAAATTTATTACGTAGAGTGGTGAGAAGGGATTTGCGAACTTCTTTTGCGGTTTTATCATCTTGGTTGGCACCTGGATCAATGGTCAATTCTTCGCCTCCTACAGCGTCATCCAGCTGAAGTTTGGTCTGCCCAATGAGCAACATATCTTCCTGAAACCATCAGCGATGTTTTCATCATTTTAGATTTGTCATCTCCTTATGAGGACGGGAGAAGACTTTATATTCAGAATGCTTCTCTCACGGTCTGACAGGCACACGAGGACGGAGAAACGAGCCTGGGGACAAACGAGAGGGGGAAATACTCAAAGGGAGAAAAAACTCACATCGATAGAATCTTTCGTAATGAGTTTGATAACTTCCACTTCTTTTTCTTGACCCTGCGATATCAGTCCCGGATCTCCAGCCTCTGGCTCATCTCGATCCAACATCATCTGTTCAATCTCGAGTAAGTTCCACCGGATATTTGGGGAGAACGGGGGAACAAGAGTGAGAGCGCCATCTGGGTAGATTGAAATGCAATGAATAGTAGGATACTTGAACGATATATGGCGATTGGCTGAGATGAAGTAAAAACTCAAACTCACAATCCGATACGCCCTATCAGCCGCCTGACGATCATTATGAGGATTAAAATCTTGATCATAAATAATCACCACACTGGCCGCCGTCAAGTTTATCCCCACTCCTCCCGCTTTGGTAGACAATAAGAAAACTGTGATCTCGGGATCATCGTTGAACTCATCTACCAATCCCTGTCTTTCGTCCGTTTTCGTGCTTCCGTCCAATCGAGTGTATTTGACGCCCAAATGTTCTAGGGCGACTTCTAGGACATCTAGGATCATGACGAATTGAGAGAATAGTAGCATTCTCTTTCCTTCTTTTTTACATCTTTCGACATGTTTCTGGAGGGCGGCAACTTTTCCGCCATCCAAGAAGACTTCTGTCTTCAGAGCAAACCTTTGAAGCTCCTAAATCTGTCAGCAAACCATTTCATCTAGTCTTGTCTGGAAAAATGTTTGGTTTGATGAACGAAAAATAAAATAAAATGCTCACCTCGTATTCGGATGATGTACAGAAATGATGCAATTCCGCATCTGACATAATCTAAATTTCAGCATTTGTGAATATCAAGAGAGAAGTCAAGACCCACTTCAAGATCCTCTACCACATAATCGTAATTTGAATCACACCATCTAGGCGTACCTAAACAAGCTTTGGCAATTTGACGTATTTTGGCATCCGTGTATAATCTCCTGAATAGCAAAGGATGACTCGCTGCTTTTCTCAGATCCATAAGAATATTTGAACTACTGGATTCTTTACTTTTCTGTTTTTCTTTAGCATCTTTCGCTTTCTTCGAATCGACTTGATGATGTTTATTCGCCTCCGCTTCGTCGTCCGCAGCAGCAGCTTCAAGAGCATCATCATCTAATTCCTCAAGTGCTTTACGTGACCTCTTCATCGTTTCGCGATATATTTTAGCTTGCACGGGTGACATGTCACAATGTTCCACAGTCTCGATTTTCGGAGGTAGAGTGAGGACATGGGCTTTACGACGTCGAAGTACGAAAGGTGTGAGCATAGTACGTGCTCTCGAAGTACGTTGTTGAGAAAGAAGACTGGCTTGGCCTTGTGATTTGAAGATAGCTCTCAAGTAAGGTTCGGCATCGACGAATGTATCTCGATGAATGAACATGAGAAGGGAGACTAGTTCTTGAAGATTATTTTGTAGTGGTGTACCCGTAAGCAACAATCTCCATCGAGGTTGGATGGACATGAGATCGTTGTATGCTTTGGTCGTACAATTTTTAAGCTTGTGTCCTTCGTCATACACGCACATCTGTCCGTCAGTGCATGCCTTCACAATACGAAAAAAAACTTCTGGCCCGACAGGACACATGAGGGAGACGACGTAATGTGAAATGCTCACATCAAACTCTACCTTCTTGCGGAAGAAAGCGAGATCGTCTGGTGCGGCCACCTGAGTGTACGAGGCAAGAACCACCTCCAACTTTCCAGCTCTATACTGTCGTTTCAGATCATCCCGCAATCCGGCACGTTCAGCCTGAGAACCGTAGTAAGGTTGTACATCGATTCCAGGAGCGAAACGTTCAAACTCTCTGATCCAATTCTCAAGCGTAGAGGCCGGTACGAAGATCATATGAGGACCTTTAACACCCTTTTCTTTGAGCGCTGCGATGAAAGCGATGACTTGTATTGTTTTGCCCAATCCCATCTCGTCTGCCAGAATACAACCGATTTTCTTCGAGTAGAGAAGATTGAGCCAATTTAGACCCAGCAGTTGATAATCCTTCAACACCGTGCCTTTTGACAGAGAGGCAGGTTGTTGTTGAATGTACGAGCTAAGTATTTTGCGTTTCCTTTGGTTGGTCTCTTTACGGAGGAGCTCTGAGACTTTAGCCACGTCGACTTTGACATCGTTCAATCCGTCCGAACGAGGAGTACCGACAACACTGTCGTTAGTATTTGATGCGCCGCGCCAGACTGCGAGAGCATCGGCGACATCTGCCGCTATCGATGCGCAGCGATTGAGACATGCGTCGATTTGGACATAACCTTCCATGATTTCGACGTATTGTTCGAATAGCTTAGGTGAGACACCTCGAGCTTTGGTGAGTTTGGTTCGGACTTCTTCCGCGTTGCTGTATGGACGAAGACGAATGATAGTCTCCGCCTGAGCAATACTGCACGCTGAATATGTCAGTGCTTGATCAACACTAAGGCAGGATTTCAAAAGCTTACCAATGGTTCCCGTCAACAATTCCGACGTTTGCTGATTGAAAGCCTTCAAAGCTTCGGTCTCTGGATCACCTGTGGGTGAAGGACCCCTTCTTTTCTTTCTCTGTGGACCTTCATCTCCCGACCAAACCTGCTCGCTTTCAGCTTCACTGATCTGAGCGTCCGATTCAGACCCATCACGCTCTCGTCTTTTATGTTTTCCATTATCATTGGTCCTATGAGCATAGATACGCGATTTTTCATTTTTCTTCGGCTTCGAAGGTTTTGGTGTTGGTTTAGGGTATGAACTTGGTAAAGATGAAGAAGTGCCCAAGTTTGAAGGTTGACGTGATGCAGGTGGAGGATGTATCTTTCCTACTGTCGAAGCCCCATTTGGTTTGAATGTCACAAACTCTGGAATTCCCTTACGTGTAGCGATGGTTTCTACTTCCCGAATAGCTTGTAATCGCCGATCTCGGTTTCTCCGCACACATTCAACTATGATATCCCTGTCTAGATGTCGGAAGCGAAGGGCTAGTTGGGAGATCAGGGATTCTTCAGGCGCGCTGTAGTAAGGTTGTGATTTGGGGGATTGATATTTCTCTTTAGCTGCTTGAATAAGACCAGGTATTTGAGGACTGAGTTGAGAAGGATTGGTAGATGATGGAGATGATTTGGTAGGTGCATCATTATAATTAGGTTTCAATCGATTGGGATGAGCAGGCGATGCTGGTGAAGATCCGAGTGAAGGACGTGAGACAGTTTGATAAGATAGTGATCCTCTTTGACCGGGTGGAAGTTGTTGCTGTACGGGATTATGTCGTTGATGTATAGCATTGATAACGGATCCAGGACTTCCGGAAGAGTTGAACGAGCTCGTACCGTTGGATGGAAAACCAGTGGATCGGTTGAGGTTGGACGAAGGGATAGCCCCGGTACTCGTTTTGAAATAGTTTGAGGTGGTGGGTACAACAGGAGAGGAAGACGAAGGGACAAGTATATGATTGGGTGATCTTTCAGGAGAAACCAGGGCTGGAGGTAGAGCAGAAGGTGGGTTGCCTGTCCTCTTTGCGACGAGTGAAGCAAGGGCTGACTAGATGTGTCAGAGGGGAACAAAAGGGTAAAGGGCTAGAGTCACTCACCTGACGAGCCCTGGAAGCATCGTTTAATGACATGATACGTAGATATGCGATAGCAGTTAGACCGTGATGAGATACGATAGTTGTATGTACACTCAGCAGATGTTAGAGAGACGGGGTAAAAGGATGGCTATGAGAGAAAAAAAAGAGAAGGGAAGGGGGGGAAAGGGGAAAAGAAGGACGCGTGCGACTCTGAATTTTCCTCCCAACCTGTGCTGGACTCTTTAACAATGGTGGACACTCCATGGTTACGAGCATGACTATATGATATGCATCCAACATGATTCCAATATGATTTCAATCCCAGATGAGACTTCCGTTCGTGTCCAGCGTTGCTCGTGTACCATTGTTCCCTGTTTGACCCTTCTTTATAGCCGTCTTGTGTGTGTAGATTTCGTTTATTTTCTCTCTACCAATCAGCCACTACACTCTTCCTCTAAGCCTCGACGATCGACGAGTCTCTGACCTTTCTAGCACCCTCTTATGAGCTCCGAGACGTTGCCGTCTTTCTTCCTCCTCGGCCAGTTTTGCTGCCTTTTTTGCCTCAGCCTTCTTAGCGTTCTTCTTTTGCACTTTGGTAGCTACGGGCAAAGGGCGTGATGTGGGTTGAGTAGCCACCGTCTGGGAAAGAGAGAGGGATATAGGTTCTGTGGCATTAGCACCTTGTTCACCTATCATGGAGTAAGAGATTCACTCTTCGGTCTGGCAGGCACCACATCCCAACCATCATCTTCCTCCGTCTTTGTGGCTTCAGCCTCGCTACTCGATGAATCGTAGTCGTCTGAAAATTTGTCCACTTTTTGCGCTATCGCTTGCACAGGGGATGACGAAAGAAGGGAAGGATCTTGGATTCTCATGACGCGTGCATGGGGTATTGGGCGGTCTTCCGGAGCGAGCATACTGTCCCATTAGCATGCATGTAGTAGGAGGAGATGTTTAAACTCACTCGTCAACCTTTGTCTTGACGGGTTTAGGAGCTATCCTCTCTGCCAAGGTCTTTGGTCTACTTGGACCCGCATGGGAAGCTGCTACAGAAGCGAATGACAATGGCTGAGTCGTTCCGGTCTGAGCGGGTGATTGAGAAGAGGCTCGAGCTTTGCTCTTTTGTTTCGAAGTAGTGCTTGTATGGGAAGGCAAATCAGCTTCAGAGGCTTTGGCTCGGGATGTATCGGACTGTGAGGCCATCATAGACGTGTCGGAAATCTCTCCATGGTCCACAGGTCGATTCTTCTTCTTTTGCTTTTTCTTGGACTTGGACGCGACGGCGGAGTCTGACGATGCTTTAGGGATGTATTGATAGCCAAAAACGAGAACGAGGAGGAGAGTCGCACCGGCGAGAGCCTCTGTAGATATGTAGGGCATATTTCAGGGGAAGATTGGTGGGTGAGGGGCTGATGTAGACTAGCAGAGTCAAGAGAGAGATATTGAGGCAGTGACGGACAACCTCCACTGAGTATGACTGGGTACTTTAAATACACCCCCCACATAACACCCCCACTGGCCTCGCATTGCCACCGCATCCTTCGGCCACTCGCTCACCTCGACTGGTGTCCTCTATCATTCCTCATCCTCTATACCCCAAACATCCCTCATCGCTTGTCTTACCTCCTCTCATCCAAGTAGCTGCCTAGACATAATCCAAGGCCGCCTCAGTCGTATCAGAATTGAGCTTTGCAGGCCGCTAGAGCTATCCCTACCTTTCACGCCCGCACGACCTTCTCAACATGGACAATCAGCTCATCAGTCTCGTGAACAAGGTGCGTTGCGCGTCTCATTGACAGAGGATGCACATGCTTACCCCTTCCTAGCTGCAAGATGTCTTCGCGTCTATCGGTGTGTCCAACAACATCGTAGGTATACCTTTCTTTCGGTGAATCGGACTGACATCGGTAGGATCTGCCACAGATCACAGTGATTGGTTCTCAGAGTAGTGGAAAGTCTTCCGTTCTAGAGGTCAGCTTTACTTCTTCTGATTGGGGAATCAAAACCTGACGTCCCTAAGAACATCGTCGGTAGAGACTTTCTGCCAAGAGGGACGGGTATCGTCACCCGTCGACCTCTAGTATTGCAGTTGATCAACCGACCAGCAACCAGCAAACCCAATGGTGCATCAACGGACAAGCCAGGTGGGTTCACCTAGAGTGACACGGGTGTATTTACCATGATCTCGCTGAAAACACAGAAGAAGCCTTAGCCAAGACGCAATTGAACGAGAACAATCCTGACGAATGGGGTGAATTCCTTCATTTGCCCGGTCAGAAATTCCATGATTTCAACAAAATCAGAGAGGAGATCGTACGAGACACCGAAAAGATGACGGGAAAGAATGCTGGTGAGTTATTCTTGCTAAGCTTGACGTAGATATTGATTGGAATAGGCATCTCACCTAATCCCATCAACTTACGAGTCTTCTCCCCTAATGTCCTCACCCTGACTTTGGTCGATTTGCCAGGTCTGACCAAAGTTCCCGTCGGTGACCAGCCCCGTGACATCGAAAAGCAAATCCGAGACATGCTCATGCGCTATATTTCGAAACCCAACGCCATCATACTCGCCGTCACCGCCGCCAATACCGATCTGGCGAACTCTGATGGTCTCAAGCTGGCCCGTGACGTGGACCCAGAGGGCACGCGCACTATCGGCGTCTTGACCAAAGTCGACTTGATGGACCAAGGGACGGATGTTGTAGACATTTTGGCTGGTCGTGTGATTCCTCTGCGGCTGGGATATGTTCCCGTGGTGAATCGAGGACAGAGGGATATAGACCAGAGCAAGTCTATCGCCACCGCCCTGGAGAATGAGCGCAAATTCTTCGAAAACCATCCTAGTTACGCAGGGAAAGCTCAGTATTGCGGTACACCATGGTTGGCTCGAAAGCTCAACATCGTGAGTGACGCGGGTATCATCGAGACGATGGATATTGATACCAGATTCTCATGCACCACATTCGAAATACTTTACCAGATATCAAAGCCAGGATCAGTCAACAACTCGCCAAATATACTTCCGAACTCGCTGCTCTCGGTGGACCTATGGGCGAGACGAATCCCGGAAGTGTTGTTCTGTCAACTATCACTGAGTTCTGTGCAGAATTCCGATCGGCTATCGACGGTAATACCAATGATCTTTCATTGAACGAATTATCCGGCGGTGCACGTATAAGTTTTGTCTACCACGAACTGTACAACAACGGTGTTAAGAGTATCGATCCTTTCGACCAAGTGAAAGATGGTGACATTCGAACGATCTTATACAATTCTTCCGGTTCTACCCCTTCTCTCTTCGTCGGTACTTCAGCATTCGAAATTATCGTGAAACAACAGATCCGAAGATTGGAAGAACCTTCTCTCCGTTGTTGCGCCTTGGTGTATGACGAACTGATTCGTATCCTCGGTCAACTATTAGCAAAGACTCAAACTTTCAAACGTTATCCAGAACTGAAAGAACGATTCAATCTCATCGTCATCAACTTTTTCAAATCATGCATGTCCCCAACGAACAAATTGGTCAGTGATATGGTAGCTATGCAAGCTTGTTATGTCAACACGACCCACCCGGACTTTCTCAATGGTCATAAAGCTTTGGCGTTGGTGACGGAACGTATGAACGCTAATAAACCTCCTGAAAAGCCAGTCGATCCGAAATCGGGAAAGCTAGCTGTGGGAACGTTGAACAATGGGAAAGATTTAGATGCGGATATGAAGAAAGATGATAGTTTCTTTGCTAGTTTCTTCACGAAGGAGAAGGGACCCAAGCGGAAAGGAGGTACAATGGAAGCTCCACCGGCGGTGATCAAACCTCAATCTTCGTTGAACGATAGGGAGTTGATGGAGACGGAAGTGATCAGTGAGTAGCGCATTTCACTTTCATTCGGGAAACCATGACTAGTATCAACCCTTTCCGTCGACTCGAATCCATCCTTGCCGAGTTGACGAGATGATTAAAGTTGGGGGTTTCATGAGAAGGACAGAAAGAGAGAGAGTATACGCTGATATACAGAACTCCTCATCACCTCGTACTTCTCCGTTGTCAAACGAGAAATGATCGACATGGTACCCAAAGCCATCTCTCTGACATTGGTGAGCTACTCGAAGGAGAACTTGCAGAGAGAATTGCTGGAACATCTTTACAAGCCTGATGTGTTGGAGGAATTGTTGAAAGAGTCTCCTGATATCGTTGCGAGGTTGGTTTATCTCTCTTCTATCTCAAACGTTTTCTCAAAGCTGCATCCTTTCATCTGCGACGTGCATTCCTGCAATGCGAAAACTACCTTTTCTAAGTCGTTGCCCTCGCCTGTGTCTTTCATCTTCTCTGTGACCGCATCCCAGCGTCCCATCTTTGACGAGGAAGAGCAGAGAATCATCAGCCAATGACACACACTGACACATAGACGCCGGGAATGCATCAAGATGGTCGGTGCTTTGAACTCTGCAGAAGCTATAGTCGCTTCTGTTTAAATTCGGACGAGTAGGAGATGAGATAGATTGTACGCCATGCACATATTACGATGACTGGGCTTCTTATCAATGTTATACACTTCAATGTGTTACACTTCACCTCCAGTATACCTCACCTCAAGTCACAGTTCGTATGATAGTTTGAACGGATGAGCAATGGGTCAAGCAGGGAGGTGTGTCCCGCCTTGTTTCCATACGTTTCAAGAAGGAAGTGCTCGCAGTGTAATGAATGATAAACGGATGCGTACCACGGTTCGAAATACAAAATTCATTCACCGACTACAAGATGGCACAACAGATAAGATAAGATACCAACATACTAACATACTGATCATTCGTACAAGAAAGAGATGACAAGATTAAGCAAAAGCAGGCCAATTGAGCTTGTTATATTCCAGATAAATCAAACGGGGATAAACTAGGATGAAACTCCAATAAAGACAAATAATCACGATATTATCAATCTGTCATTAGCTATCATGTGTTTCTTGATCGTACTTCTGGACGCATCTTCATGTGGATAACCGTCGTCACTTCGTCAACGACTCTAGGAGAGATTTATGACTTGGTTCTTTGTCATAATTTATAGTAAAGTGATTTTAACAACTTTCCACTTTACGCTCCCGGCTTTCGAAAAGAAAAACAAGAAGAGTGGGAAGCGGAAGAGAATAAAGAGGCGGACAAGTAGGAGGAAGAGGGCGAATGGGACATCATACCACAAAAGCAATGAAGAATGATAGAGAACATGAAATCACTCACCAACCGATCTGAATATTTATACTGACTATCTATCCCATCATAACCTTCTGTCCCTAAAAACCTCTTAACAACACTATAACTCCATAATTTAACACCAACAGTGATACACATCCAAACGGCCCATACCACCGTACCTAAAATCCAGATAACTCCATGTAATCTAACTTTATTTCTGGTAGTCATACCCCACGCATGGAACGGTAAGTATAAACTACCTAAAACGACCAATAAAGGAAAGAAAAGAGAAGGTAAAGATCCTACACCATTGTGATTGGTGGATAATCGAGCGATTTCAAGTGCGTGCATTGCTAAAAGAGCTATGAGGATGAAGGTTGTTAAGTAAAGTAGAAATATACGGGTACGTGGGTAAGTTCCACCCTGAGAGAGGAATATACGATGGGTTAAAGAAGGTTTGGATTGGTTGGGGTGAGAATCGATCAATGGGATTGGATCTTGATATTAGACAACAGTACTCTTTCTAGGTAGTATGAGATAGAGAGACCTTGTTTGGTATTATGAGATACGAAGGAGGATGAGGAGTAGGCATTATGAAGTACAATTTAGGAAGATGGACAAGTGGATAGTTATAAATAGTACATTAAAACTCATTTAAAGATGGCGGTAAGGATGAACAGAAGGATTTGACTCACTTTCAAGTCTATCTAATTGTCTCTTTCTAACCCTTTTCATGGTGATGGAAGAAACGACAAAGAACAAGAGGAAAAGCCATCCTCCTAGAGGTTCTAAAAGAACATCGTCGAAACATGTTGTTAATGTATGAGGTAAGGGAGGAGAGGTATATGGGCCCTAACTTGTCAACGTCTGACTAACATATATTGTAGATTCTACACGATCTTTGAACATACAGTATCGTGGCAGTGGTGAACATATATTGTAGATTCTACACGATCTTTGAACATACAGTATCGTGGCAGTGGTGGTGGTGAAAGGTGGAAGACGTAAACGATTGACTCACGAAACCCCCATCGACACGGTTTTTACACGCTACCATTTCGCTTGAATCTAGAAATCAGTGATCAGCGATCAGTGAGACGAGTAAGAAGTGTTGAGGTGTTACATATGTAGTGAGTAAGAAGTGAAGTGGATGGTGTATGACGGCATGTGTAACCGAAGTGACCGGAGTCAGTCGTCAGATCGTCAGTCACCTAACAGACGTACGCCGCTTTGAGGCACTGTGGCTCTCTCTCAGCTGCATGGCTGCATGCGCCTGCATACAAGTAGAGAATAGAATAAACCTCGGAGATAGAGTGTTGCCCGTATATGTTGTATGAGTATGCCTACTTGTACTTGTCGTCTCATCATCATCGGCAAAATCGTCATGGTCAGATCGTCGCCCGTCGGTGTTTGAGACACAAACAAATCGTCATCAAGATGCCAAATCACTCACCATCCTCTCCTCTTACTACCCATCCCTCTCGGGAGCAAGGTCGGGATGATGACTACGATGTATGATCTTTGGAGAAAAAGGAGTCTTAGCTGACCAAGTCATGTCGAAAATTATAATTGTCGAGTGACCGAGGTAGTCTCCTTGTACCAACAGTGCCGGGAGAATTACCCGATTGGGACGGAATCCCATCGGCTTTGCGGGGTAAGGGGATCTTTTCTAGAAAAAAGGTACTCTCCATACCCTCGGCTTACTCAACAATTTACACACCTCCATAAGCATTCTCATTTTTCTCATCTATATAAACCCTCTCTCACTTCTTTACAAGTCTAGACATTCTTAACTCTCCAATGCCCACAATGCACTCTCATCGTCCAAACCACGAAAATCCCACTTCTGCCGACCTCGACGTCCTATCCCTCCTCACTTCGGACCATGTCAATCTAGGACCGTTGTCACCTACCGCAGGGACCGGAAGTGGGATTGGAAAGATGGGAGGATCCGGTGAGAGACCGAAGAGACAATTACCGAGGAGAGAAAGTCCGTTGGATACTTTACTTATCTCTGCTGTTTTGGCTGGTTCGGGACCGGTGACTAGACATCATTTAGGACATGGGCCTGGTGAGTTGGTCCTCAAGACTTTTTACCTATCACTCTGTCTTTTCTATTGCACATTCACTCTGTTCTACTCATCTGATACTTGGGCGATCTATCAGATGGGTAGAATAGAGTGAGTGTGCAATGGAAAAGGATAAGATATGAAAGATGCGATTGGATCTTAGGACTGACAGAGTAGCTCGACCAGGAGCTTATACATCTTGTGACGAATCACGTCCAACTTCACCATCGAGAATCCAACCAGAGAAGATAACATTGAAGTCACTTCAAGCTCCCCGAAGTGAACGTTTACGTCTCGAACAGGAAGTTGAAATCACTCGGCTCCCATCTTCCACCAACCATCTATCTCTGCCCACTTCAACCTCTCCAACAGACGACACCCCTCGGCTTTCCCCCGATACACCGAAATCTCCTTCGAACGTCATGCGACCCAAGAGGAAAATGTCTGTCGACCCAAACCCTGTGTCACAAATTCTTCAGGCTGCAGCTTCTCCTATAAATACTCAGTCGTTCCCTACCCAACCTCAACTACAATCGCTTTTCTCCCCATCGACCGTACAGTCTGACAAAACGGACGGGAAAGTTCATGTGAAATGTATGGCCCGTACGCGGATCCCTACTCCACACGGGGAGATGTTCTTACATCTCTATCATAATTCGGTAGATTCAAAGGAACATCTGGCTATAGTTTACGATCCCATTCAACTTTCTCCCGAAGCTCGAGATGCTGTAAAAGGTAGGAAGGAAATTCGAAGTAAGAGTTTAGATCAACAATGGAGAATCGGAGAGACGGAAATGGAACGTGTGGTTCGTGGTGCCTATATCGGTCGATTACTTCCCGGTGGGGAATCACAAGCTAGTCTACCTAAATCTTCCCAATCCACATTGAACGGGGAGATGGAAATACTAGATGGGTTGAATGACTTCGATATGGAAGATCAATCAAATCATCAAGATATCTTACCTCTTGTGAGGATTCATTCGGAATGTTTCACAGGCGAAACTATCGGTTCGATGAGATGTGATTGTGGTGAACAATTAGATGAAGCTATGAGACTCATCAGTTTACCTCGACCCATTCCTAATTCATCAAACAATCTTCCAACTCCTGCAGCATCGCGTTCTCCATCTCCCGATATCTATCGTCCTCGTCAAGTACCAGGAAGAGGTGTAGTCATTTATCTTCGTCAAGAAGGTCGAGGAATAGGTTTGTTAGAGAAAATAAGAGCTTATAACCTTCAAGATTTAGGACACGATACTGTTACTGCTAATCTTCTATTGGGACATGGAGCAGACGAAAGGAAATATACGGTAGCAGCGGAGATCATGCGTGATTTAGGTTTAGCAGAAGGTGGTATCAGTCTTCTCACAAATAATCCTGAGAAAGTAGAAGGTTTGACGAAAGAAGGGATAGAAGTGAAAGAAAGGGTTGGGATGATACCCAGGGATTGGAAATGTGATGGGCAGGATGAAGGTTATGGAGAGTGGAAATTGAGAAGAGAAGGTGTGGGCTTGATTGGGGCTGGGAAAGCTAGTGGGAAAGAGTTGGAAAAGTATTTGAGAACGAAAGTGGAGAGAATGGGACATTGTGAGTTGTTCACTCCACTCCACTTGATTCACTCCTCGTATAACCTCCCTTGGTACTGGTACATGTAATCGAAGAGAGTCTAATTGAGCAGTGATAGATATCCCCGCGGACAAACGATAAGTGGACGTATCGAGAGATGGGGAGGTAGATGAATGGATAATCATCTTAACAGTCTGTCATGCATATATAATGTAGCACCCTATCTGTACTTTGCGCCGTTCAGCATGACAACATGTCTCCCCCGACGTTGCAGTCGACGCAGTCACACACACTGGAAATGTCCCAGTGCCACTTAACTTAGTACCCCACTTTAACACTCGCCTCCTACACCTCACTCCTCTGCATCTCTGTCACATCTCCCACCCATATCACTTCTTACTTGCCACTTCTCCCACATACTCAACATGTCTCGCCGTCCTGCACCTTCATCTTCCTCGTCAGATCAACCAGATCCCAAAAAGACCAAGACAGAGTCTTTCGACATAGCTTCCATCCGTGCTCAAATCGCCGCTCGAAAAGCTCAAGTAGAAGCTCAAGTTTCTTCCCGTCCATCCGACTCTCCCCATCCTCCTTCTCTCCCTTCAAAACCAATACAAACCAACAATGTCATTTCTAAATCTTCCATCCCTCTATCCAACACTACCAGTGGAGGTAATAAATCCACCGGGGGATTAGATCCTTCCATTGCGGAGAAAATCGCAGCTGCTAAACGACGAATAGAAGAGATGAACGCTAAAATGTCCAATCCGTATTTAGGTGGTGTGAAACCTATCGAACAGAAACCTCAAGCTACAGGAGGTTTACATCCTCTCCTTATGGAAACTACAAATTCAGCTGTCGGTGGGAAAGCTGGGGCTGGGGGAATAGGAGAAGGAGTAATTGGAGGAGAAGAGAAAAATGAGAAAAAAGCTTTAAGAGATAGATATAAAACTATGGCTCCTAAATATACTTCTGTAAAAGCTAATGCTTCTATTTCATCTTCTTCAAATATCCCAAGACCTAATCCTGTCATACCTGTTTTAAACCCTTATGCTACAAAGACCGATACGTTAGCACCGGAAGAAGAAAAGGCAGTTATAAGGAAATCGAAGAAATTACAATTTTCTCAAGCTGGTAGATATGTGAAACAAGGTGATGCATTAAGAAGTGAGATTAAGATGGATGAATTGAGACAGAGGATAGCGGAAGCTAGTAAGAAAGCTGGGTTGGATAGTGAGTTTGATACTTTGGAGAGGAGTTTGAAGGTGAGTCAAGATTTTTTACTTTCTTACTATCACCCCTTCTTTCCCCTGATTTCTGTCCTCTAATCCTTACCTCCGATCTGTGTTCGTACACTCTTTCTCATTGAAGTTTCACTCGTCCCTATGTAGCCTGAATTCCAACTCGCTCTCGACAGCCCTTCAGTACGAAAGAGTACTGGAAAACGTAGGAAGTTTGAGAATGGGAAATCGCTTGGATCTTCCTGAGTCGTTTTTATTGTGTTCTTCCAGCTCACTTCTAGCGGGCACCTCCTCCAGATGTGGAATGGTGGGATCAAGCTATACTCCCCGAAGGAGCGACATACGAAGATATTGATTCCGCATTGGAATGGATAACCACCTCGAATGAATCCCTCGTCACTCACTTGGTTCAACATCCGATTCCTATACCTGCTCCAGGGGAAAAGAAACAACCAGAACGAGGTCTCATGTTGACCAAAAGAGAACAAAAGAAAATGCGTAGACAAAGACGTCAAGCAGAGTTAGAGGATAAACGTGATAGACAAAAAATGGGTCTTTTGCCACCTGATCCACCGAAAGGTCAGCTCTTGTTTCAACGTCTTCTCTCATCCGAGCTGATGCACAGTGCGATTGGCCAATCTGATGAAGGTCTTGACAAGTGCAGCTATACAAGATCCGACAAAGGTAGAAGCGAAAGTCAGGAAAGAAGTTGCCATGAGAGCTTTGAAACATCAGAAAGATAATGAGTCTAGGAAGTTGACACCTGAACAGAGGAAGGAGAAAGAGTATCAGAAATTGGTTTCGAAAGAGAGGACGGGATTGTATTGTGCTGTTTTCAAGTGAGCCCAAGCTTTTTCCTTGTCTTTCCTTAACATTCCCGACTTTACATGTCAATCTTCCCTCATCTTCTCACTTCTTCGCATGTTCGTCATTGTTGATGTCCTACTCACTGGTACTCTTGTGGTTCTTGCGGTTAGGTGATAGTGGAAATATGCCGGAAAAAGAGATTCAGAATTGACGACAGAATCAAATACCTCACCAATGGAAGACATAAATTCAAAGTTCGTGAAACTGCTAAAACTGACCTTCTCTCCGGTGTATGCATCTTCGGTCCTTATTACGCTATCGTCCTGGTCGAAGGGGTGGATAAAAGTATCAAACATTATAAACGTATGATGTTACATCGTATCGATTGGACCGAACAAGCTCGTCCGTTAGGTGATGAAGGTGAGGATGATGATGAAGATGGAGGTAAGATGGGAGGGGGACAGGAAGATCCGGATAGTTTGGCTGATAATAAATGCGAATTGATCTGGGAAGGTGAAGTGCCAGAGAGAACTTTTAGGATCTTCAGAGCTAGACATGCGGAATCGGATTCGAAAGCGAAAGAATGGTTGACACCGAAGTGGGAGGGAATGTGGGATGTGGCGAAAAGGTTGGTTTGGTCTGGGGAAGATGTGTAGGGGAGAGAGGTAGATGATAATGGAGAGTATGTAGTCGGGATGCAGTATGCAGATTCAATCTCTGTTGCATGTTGCATGTTGCATGTTGCATTTCTTCCATAGTCTGTCTTCGTAGACGTGTAGACACATGTGCAAATAAGTACACACTGGTACACTGGAAGAATTGCCAAAGTCATGAAAGGATTGCTGAGTCGTTTTGAATAGCCGATCGAAATATCCATCCACCTCTCTCCCTCTCTCTCTCTCTTCCTCCTTCTATCCTTCCCCTCCTCTCTGTATCTTTCACACACCACTCACCTCTTCACTCCACTCAAAAGTCTGCTTTTACATGGGAGGGGAGTAGGGATAATAATCAATTCTCAAGATGTACCGTCGTAATCGTCGTTTCCGTCCCGCACCACCTCAAATCCCACAAGAAGGAGAAGACATACCATCTTTGAAAATAACGATGTTAGGTGCAGGTCAAGAAGTTGGTAGATCATGTTGTGTAATAGAACATAGAGGAAAGAAAATAGTTTGTGATGCTGGATTACATCCTGCTCATCCTGGTATGGGTAGTTTACCTTTTATCGATGAAGTGGATTGGAGTACTGTTGATGCGATTTTGATAACTCAGTGAGTTGTCGGGTTTGTTCTCTTCTTTCATCGTTCAATGTTTTCTTCTCCCATTCGTCTTTTCAGTTTTACTCAGAGATGTATGCTGTTTGATGGTGATTTTGCAGTGGGTGTCTGTATCAATTTGAGTGCTGGGGTATCGAGGAGAGACCTGCTGGGTGAGGGAAGTGGAAAAGGTGAGAGCAGGGTGACAACCGTCGAGAGATGGGGAGGATCGTCCAGAGATGGGGAAGATTGCCGGAAGATTGTAGGATGAGAAGGAGGGGAGCGATGTTCGAACGACAGACTACGATAGTACACCATTGTCAAGGTATCGGTCAAGTCTTGTGTGGGTATTGACCAGGGTACTCAAGAGGTGATAGAGATGTTTGCGGGGAGGTGTAGGATTAGCAGGGGTGGGAGTTCATATGTCAAATGGAGATGGTGAACTTTATCCTGACACACAGCTTTCATGTTGACCATGCCGCTGCTTTACCATACATCATGGAAAGGACCAATTTCAAAGATGGTGCCGGGAAAGTATACATGACTCATGCTACTAAAGCCATTTACGGTTTAACCATGATGGATGCTGTGAGGATTAGGTGAGTTTATGACAATCTCACCCTGCCCTTCCCATCATTACTTACATGACATCGTACCGGGAATTTTTCGTTAAGACAGGTCTTCCCGCTGATTCACAGTGACCAAAACGCCGATAATGCAGGTCGTCTATATACAGAAGCAGACGTTCAATCATCTTGGCAAAATACCATAGCAGTGGATTATCATCAAGATATCGTCGTATCCGGCGGTCTTCGTTTCACTCCTTATCATGCCGGTCACGTTTTGGGAGCTAGCATGTTTATGATCGAAATCGCTGGTTTAAAGATTTTATATACTGGTGATTATTCAAGAGAAGAAGATAGACATTTGGTAATTGCTGAAGTACCACCTGTCAAACCGGACGTTATGATTTGTGAAAGTACTTTTGGGGTTCATACTTTACCCGATAGGAAAGAGAAAGAGGAGCAATTTACGAGTGGGTCCAAATTCTAGCTCGTCTCTCGTTGACTCATGTACATGGCGTGTTCAAGCTTTGTCTTGACTTGAACACATTCATCGTCCGTTCACTATGCTTCCATTGGTCAGGCGTCTTCGTATCTTCCATTTCCTCATATTTCCAAGATTTTGTCAGATGTTCGAACTGCCGAGCGAACAGAGCGAGGAAGGGAGGACGGAAGGAAGGAAGGGAGGGAAGACGGAAAAGACGGTTAAAACCAGTCACTAACAACAGCCCTCGTATCCAACATTGTCAAAAGAGGAGGTAGATGTCTAATGCCCATTCCATCTTTTGGTAACGGTCAAGAACTCGCTTTATTACTAGACGAATACTGGCACGATCATCCCGAATTACAAAACATTCCCATTTTCTTCGCTTCCGGTTTATTTCAACGTGGTATGAGAGTTTACAAGACTTATGTACACACTATGAACGCCAATATCCGATCAAGATTCGCTCGTCGGGATAATCCATTTGATTTCAAATATGTGAAACCTCTCAAAGATGGTAGAAGAGGAGATAATTTCAAATCACCTTGTGTAGTCATGGCCTCTGCACAATTTATGAGTTTTGGATTAAGTCGAGAACTTTTAGAAGATTGGGCTCCAGGTGAGAAGAATGGGGTTATAGTTACTGGTTATTCTATCGAGGGTACAATGGCCAGAGTTAGTTTTTTCTTCTTTTCTCTTCCCTTTCCCTTTCCCTTTCACTTCTCACTTCCCACTTCTGATCCTATTCAAAATGCTAACTGGCAATTTTATCGGTGGAATTTTTAGTAGTAGTTGGTGTATGAGAAGACATGAGGAGGGAAGTTTTTGACGTTTTAGACACTTCTGGGTGAACCTGATCATATCGAATCTCTCCGAGGAACGAAAATCCCACGTCGACTCACTGTGAAAGAAATATCATTTTCAGCACATGTGGATTACGGTCAGAATTCTAGGTTCATTCAAGAAGTAGGAGCACAACATATAGTTTTGGTTCATGGTGAAAGTTCTCAGATGCTACGATTACGTGCGGCTTTGAGGGATAGTTATTCTGCTAGAGGACAGGAAGTGAATATTCATACTCCGAGAAATTGCGAGCCTTTAACTTTGACTTTTAGACAAGAACGACAAGTGAAGGTGGGTCCAAACGTTTTTGCTTTTCGTCTCTCCCCCTCTTCCCTTTTTTTCCCTCCTTTTTCCTCCCTGCTTCTCCTTTTCCGTCATAGAGTTGACTTGTATGCCTCTTCATTTCACGTTTCAAACTTTTACAATCTGATGTCTCACTTTGGCATCACGAACACTCGGATCGAACTCCCACTCCCACGAAAGCAAGCTGTGTTGGAGGAAATGAGAATGGAGAAAAATGTTGATTTTCAGGCCATCGGTTCCCTCGCAGCTCATAGACCGGAACATGGCGCTATTGTAAAAGGTCTCTTAGTCTCAAAAGATTTCTCATACACCCTTTTAGATCCAAAAGATCTACAAGATTTCACAGGTTTATCAACAAGTACCATCGTACAGAAACAATCCGTACCACTCAGTGTTGATTGGAGTGTGGTCCGATGGCATTTAGAGGGGATGTATGGTGAAGTGGAAGATGGACAAGAAGGAGGGAATCAAACTTTGACCGTGAGACTTTTTGTCCTTGCACAACTCCCCCTGTTTTTCCTTTCATAACCCGTCTAGTCAAGAGGGAAGGATTGTTCCCTCATTACAATCCCTGCTTTCCCCAAGGGACAGATTCTTCACTCCCCACGAGCACTATTGTCGTCAACAGGAAAAGGGAATCTATCCCACCACAATCACTATATTTGTTAACTAGGAGACAAGTCTGAGCTGATGAAAACAGATTATGAACTCTATCAAATTAGTTCGAATCTCTGAGACAGTAGCGGAATTGAGATGGGAATCAGGGACTAGTAACGATATGATTGCGGATTCTGCACTTGCTATTTTACTCGGTATTGATTCTAGTCCAGCTACTGTCAAGTGTAAGTTATTCTCTCTTGTCTTCCTCCCTTCTTTTCTTCCAATCACTCCTCCATTCACATTTGTCGCCGCCATCAAATCTACCTCCAGGTATTCTCGTTTTCTTAAGATCGATTTGACTCCTCACAGTAGTCCCATACTTTTCCATAATTCGATTACTCTTCTTATATCACTTTCATACTCTCTCAAAATGAACGAAAATTGATTAACACTTGTCATTGAACAAACTAAACCTTGATGTTGAATCATAGTGACTTCCAACCCACATCCCCATTCCCATTCTCATTCTCACACTGACCATTCAACCCTACAAGAAACATCCGAACCTTCACCAAACGACGAAATCTCCACTTTGCACATGTTCTTATCCGCCCATTTTGGTGATGTCACCTTCCACCCCGCCGGATCAGGGGAAGAAGAATTAACTCTTGTCGTTCGTGTTGATTCAGCCCAAGCACGGTTAGATCTGATCAGTATGAAAGTCGAAAGTGAAAGTTCTGAATTGAGAAATCGAGTGCAAGGTGTAATGGAGATGGCTTTGGCGACTATGAGACCTTTATCTTTAGCGTTTGTGGGATGTGGTTTGGAAAAAGTTGAAGGGATGAAAGGGGAGATATGATCTAAAGTTATTTATGTAGATTTCTACTTTGGTAAATCTTCGCATACACTGCATCTTGCATCTAGCTTCTTCTTTTAGGCGAATGAAACACTCGCCCAAAATATTTCAAAAGTAGAACACGGGCATCAGGATTGGGCGGGACGGCTCAAGTCTATAGCGAACATGAATGAATGAATCCATCCATGCGACCCAAGTCGCAATTTCGCAACGACGAAGCATTGAATGCATCGGATCCACAGACCCAGTGCACAAAAGGGTATAAACAACGTCACGGGCATGTCCGGCGTGTCCGGTGTACAAAAGTGCAGAGAATGTAGGTTAGAAAAGGATTAAAAGCTCTGGTATCTATTGAAGAGGAAAATGGAAAAAAAGGAGGGCGCTGAACAAGGCTTAAAGAATCGTACTTTCAATTAATCTACCTTCATCATTTCGTGAACGTCACAAAAGTCGTCGATAATATCAAACAATGAAAATGTCTGAATCATCAGCTTCAGATACTAATCCAGTGCCAACTCTTGACTAACTCGTTATCGACAACATCCACAAGTGAGCAAACGCATAAAACCACCCTGCTTCTTCGGTGCATAATCCCCTTCGCCCATTTGCTGTGAACCAGCGGCCGTGTTCCCCGATCGACCGTTTACGTTCATCGGTGCGATAGGCTGTAGACCGGCTTGACTCTCGATGGGGACATTGGAGGATTCATACCGTCCGTCTCGGTCCATACCGCTAGCAGTGGCGAATGGATGACCGCCTTGCTGACTTTGTCTTCGAGAAGCGGGAAGGGGTGAGGGTGCAGAGACGCCGACGATGGCTTGGTTGGATGCGTTAGGTAATGCAGAACCAGATTTCCTGTAGTTCCTATCAGGTTAAATACGACAGCAGGAGGACGGAAATCTTACAGAGGAGCGTTCACGCCGCTTCGTAGTCGATCCGCTGGTCTGTACTCTTTCTCCCGTGTCCTCGTTGGCTGGCGAACGACTTCCGCAGGTGGTGAGCTTTTCTGTAATAAATCAGCGAGGTCACAACATGGACATCCGTAACTACGTACAGAAGCTTCCCAACCCTTACCATTATTGAGCAACATCCAGTCGTACACTTCGTCATCCTCCTCGCCGGCATTCTTCAATGCTGTACTGAATAATTCTCGAAGGAAGTCGTAATCGGGAGTTTCATCAAATGTTAGTTTACGGACGTAGTTGAGGTAGATGGCGAATTCCTCTGTTGGATCAGTTACAGATTCAAGTCACACATGACTTCTGGCCACAGCGTAGTCGATCAACGGGGACGGGCAAATAGGAGATCAACACGTTTCAACGCACGTGGATATCCATCTACTAGCTCAGGAATAGGTGTGGTTTGTTTCTTCTCCCCAATCTTTTCGTACTTCTGTTTGTTTGTGGCCGCCTTCAACCCTTGCCATGGGAGAGCCCCGCGAAGAAAGTAAAAGAAAACGTGCCCTAGGGCTTCTAAGTCATCTCGTCGTGATTGTTCTGCGAGTCAGACGAGAACCTGGAAATTGAGTGAACTCACCTCGACCAAGATGTGTATTGATGGACATGTAACGTGCGGTACCACTTAAACTCTTTCGTTCACGGTAAGGAATGTGTTGTTTACTTCTTTGTCAGCTATTGTGCCGACAGATGGGCGCATCTCACGTTTTGGGATCTCTGTATTGTTTTGCCATTCCAAAGTCTACGACGTGAATGATATTCTGCGCTTTGCTTCCTGGTCGACCGATGAGAAAGTTGTCAGGTTTGATGTCACGGTAAATGAGGTTTTTCTCGTGGATAGTTTGCACTCGGGACAACTGTGAGGTGAGTCGTCCATCTTGCATATTAAACGGAGGTCAACACAATCACTTACCATTTGCTTAGCGGTCATGCAACATGTTTTCACACTGAATTTCCTTCCACACATGTCGAAGAGGTCTTCCAAAGAGGGTCCAAGGAGGTCGATGACAAGGATGTTATGCAAACCTTCCTGTCCAAAGTAGTACACCTGAGGTATTCCCACTGATACATCAGCAGCAGAGCGAGAATTATAATGATTACTAACAGCAACCACTGAGGATCTTGTAGGATCTATACTCGTCGCGTAGTTGGGGCGCATCGGATTTGCGAGGTTCCTACACGTCAACTTACAACTTACAAGTCAAAGATTAGCTCACAAATTTGATAGCAACTGTCTGAGAGTTGAGAAGATTGGTTCCTTTTCCCATCAGCACTAACAACAAGATGTAAATGTTTCCTTGTGAATACAACATGCGCGCCGATGCGCCGAGTTGAATGGAAGGAAGTGTACGCACCTTCGAATATGACACCAAAAGATCCTTCCCCAATCTTCTTTCCGACTCTGTAGTGTACTCCGACAATGTTGCTCGAGCTGGAATGACCGGAGGAAGAGAGATGTGCACCTGGATTGGAGGTGGAAATGACATGTGTGGTAGCCATGATGCACGGACTTTGGGAGTGGGGGTAGTAGGAAGGAGGGGCTGTGCGGTGAGTCTTAGATGAGTATCAAAGAGCTGCGGAGGTAGACGGTGTGGTAAAGGAGAGATAGAGAGTCTAAGAGAGGTTTACTAGATGGTAAGTGGTGGGAGGGTAGGCTGTAGTGTGGGGTGAGAGAATGAGAATGAGAATGAGAATGGCAGAGTGGGGATGAGTGTGGATCAACCAAAACGGGTCTAAGCGATGTTGTTGCCGATTGACCAGATTGGGAAAAGTACGCAGCACTCAATGCCGGGTGAAGGGACTAAGAAGTGGATAGTAAAAGAGCGAGAGAGATGTGATTTCTGAGAGAGTGTGGAGGTGAGGGTTGTAGATGTTTAGAATGGAGAGAAGAGTGGTTGTGGGCAGAGCATGGACGAGTTTGGCAAGTGAGTAGTGAGAGGACGGCTTGCGGACACAGGGTAAAACCGTTCATTCAGGTCCCATTTTGAATGGGGGGAGTTCTTAAGGTTGTGCCACGTTGGTCAATTTGTCGGCCCTCGCCGCCTCGACTTGACTTCTGCGCTGCAAAAGTGTCAGAACTCTGTCCTCATAACCCTCAAGTCGTCAGTCCCGAGGTCGTTGGTGGCATCGCTGCCCTTCTTCGTCTTCTCAAGGTTCAAGAGAGAGAGAAGACTAGTCTTCTTACTCTGGTCAGTCAGTGATTGAGAAAGAAAAAGGGATCATGTCGGCCGTCGAGGCTTATGTCGACCGTCAGTTGCTACCTCTTTGGAAACCTAGTTCCAGCTGACCATACGTAGATACTGTCCAGGTCATTCTATATGATGGACGTGTCATCGTTGTGGGTCTCCTTCTGGTCTATAACCACTTTTCATTCCCACCATATTCGCTTTACACTCCAGACGAGCTTACCTTGTCTTAATTCCTCCATACTTCCACTCATCTCTTCTCCAATTTTATATGACAACTCCTATCTCTCCTCTCCCAATTCTATCACTCTATCATCTCATCATCCCTCTTCAAATGTATACGGGTCTATCAATTAGTACCTGTCAGTCTTCACGGTCAAAAGTATAGTCTAGTCCATCTCTGATGGCCTCAACCCTACATACAACGTGAAACCAGACTAACCCCCAAGGGCAAATTAAGAGGTTACGACCCACGTACCAATCTCATTCTTTCCGATTGTGTCGAACGTGAATATTCTTTAGAAGGCGTGGAGATGGTACCATTAGGTTTATATATGATCAAAGGAGATAACGTGTGAGTTATTTCTTTTCCGTCTCAGTTGCCTTAGATCTCATCCCTACCTGACTTCTCGATCAGCCACAGGTGATACGAAGTATCGGGAGGAGTGTGGTCTGTATGATAGTTCCGTTTACAAATTCCAACCTGGTAGTATTGTTCATAATCAAAAACTGATAAATAGAGCTATCATAGGAGAGATGGACGAAGATAAAGATGGTTCGATAGATTATACGGAAATCAAAGCTGAGCCATTGGGGGAGATAAGATTATAATGGAATGATCCTACTTCCAACCTTCTTTCTCCCCTCTATTTTCATCTCTATCATTCCTCCAATCCAATGATCTGATATCTTTGCATCTTTCACATGATGTCTCTTTCTTTCATCTGGCATAACTTCCCCCCTTCATACCTTCAGATCCACTCTGATCGTCAATGTCCCTCTTGACCCAATCTCATCCTCAATAGCTCGACTACACACAGAACAATTCCGTCGATTCGCCTCCCCTCATTCTGCCCATCGACATCGGACCCCATACAAAACTCTTGGCCAAAAAAAGACGCTCGCACTTTTGAGAGATCAAAAATGTTCAAGGGTCATCTCACGGACATGCATCCACTTTTTAAAGCCCTCTCTCCCTCACTAGAGTGCTTTCTCGAGTACCACCGCAGATGACGTCAAATATATGTCATTCGTCACATGGGAGCACTCAACTATACGTCATTCGTGACATGTGACCAGTCAATTGAACGAGCCACATAGGTGCAGCAGCAGAGTACGAATGCAAAGATAAATTTTTAAACTTCAATACAGTCTCTTCAAACATAATTATGACACAGATAAATTCTTTTCATCTCATTTTCTTGACTACTACTGTTCTTTCTCTTCCTTTCTCCTCTTTCGGACTGAAAACTTCTTTTTTTTCTTTCCCGTCATTTTGTATACCTTCCCCTACTTTTCCAACAAGATACACAATGCATCGTAACGTTCGATTTCCTTTTCTATGCTTGTTCCAAGAAATGCCCAGATGATAGAAAAGTGAAAGAAAGATGATAAAATTTGGTATTGTTCCTGCCATCGAGGCTGGGGTGAGGGATATCGAGACAAGTGGTATTTGACATAAGTTAATTTGAGATGATGGGATTTTCTTTGTACTTTGCAAGACGATGAGATGGATGTGAGTGATGAGGTATGAAGAGGAGAAATCATCAAGATCCTTGACCTGGATAATGAGGATATGATAGACCGGGTAAAGAGGAACCGGTTGGTAAAGCCAATGACATTCCCGGTGCCAGATTTTGAGGAAGGTAGCCGAGACTAAATGTAAGCTCAAGCTCCCCACGCAAATGGTAAAACATTTATCGTCATCTTGATTGAGAGAAGACACATCGTGCAGTATGCGAGAACTGAATGATATTGGAGATGGAAGAGGTCTGATGCGAAAACATTAGTCTCGGACGAAAGACACAAGTAAATGGGATGTTACAGAGAGAAAAACAACAACTTACACTGACTGATTCATCTGAAGTCCATCCGTATACTCCCAAGTCTGAGAATACCCATATCCAGAAGTAGGAATACCATTGACAGACCCACTCCCAACTCCACTAGCTGACAAAGTCGTTGCACCCACATTCCCTGTATTCGTCGTGGTCGTTGTCGTATTTGTCGAAGTGGTAGCAGAGTCGATGGGTACCATAGCAGGAACCACTTGTATTTTATACTTTCCCTCTACTGTAGCTAAAGAACCGGCTCCATCGATAAACTCTGCGTTGACGGTGATTTCCACTTGTTGACTTGGCTGATTGGGCATACCGACAAGACGGAGATTATCTTCCCAATTTAACCATGTTGGGAGAGAACCGGCTGGAGACGAAAAGGTAGGTTTGAGAGTGTCCGCAGCTGCTTGAGGATCCCAAATACGGGGTTCCCATTCGTATCTCTGATTCACGACGCTGAGTGTGAGCGATACTCATAGACCAACACTTCTAATCTGACCCAAATGCAGGTGCCGTCCAACGCACGGGTCAGGTGTGAATAGCACAATAACAAAAAGGAATAGACAAGTGTATAAGACGAAGACGGACGGAACAAAGATGGTCAAGGTAGTACATGTTATAAGTGAGGGGTAGCGATGAAGGTATGTGTGGAATCGTTGATGGAAAGACTTACGCAAACGTGTTAGGCTGCCCAATGATCCGCCGTTTGAACGGTCTAAATACCCATCCTCCACCAGGTAACTTCTTCGCGTCCACATTCCAAATATGATTACCCTTACTCTTCGCTTTCTTCCCATCTGAATTGAACCTCGAGATCAAATCTTGTCTCCACAAATACGTTTTGACTTTTTTGATACTCAAAATCTCCTCCGATATCCCCCTCTTGGTCAATTCCTCGTGAAACGCATTGGTGAACGCTTGGATTCTGAATTTGAACGGTCGATAATCCGTCGACTCATCCAATCTCTGCATCTTCTTCGGCATCAAAACCTGATGTAACTTTTCACCTTTACTGTCGACCGCTTCTAAATCTGAACATACTCGTTGAAGGAAAAGAAGGAAAATATCATCGAGTTGTCGACGTATATCATCAGACAGAACTGCAGCCGTACCCATCGATACGTCTGGTTGTTCGTTTCCTCCTGATGATCGTCTTCTCTTCGTACGTCTAGGACCTTCATCGTCGGAATCGTCATCGTCGCCACCGTCATCTTCCGGAGATGCATGTCGAGAATGCCAAGCGGAAGGAGGAACAGAAGCCGTCATTTGAGCATGAGACCATGCTTTGTGCACTGAGGTACTTCGGGCACGGTTCACAACAGGACGACCGTCAGTACGACCATCGATCAACGATGGACGTCGAGAAGCTTCAGGAGCTCTACCAAAGACTTCGGTGAAGTCAGGCGCCCAAGGTTCTTCAGGAATGGGATAAGGTCTCGGTGGCGATGGCGGACGAGATATCGGCATCGTGACTAGTGGAGAGGAGATTAGAGGAGCATGAGCGATGCCTAAGGCTGCTGTGAATGATGGAGAGGGTACGATAGGCGTGGTGGGTGGCGCTATGCCATGCAGTTGAGAAGGAAGTTGATGCCCGTTCGGGAAAGAATGAGAATGTACCATTGGCGGTGCTTGTGGCATTCCTTGAGGGGACATGTAGTCCGGCGTCGCGGACATCATTGGTGTCATCGAAGGTGGTGCCGTCGATTGTGGCATAAGCGGTGCAGGGTTTTTGACGTCGAGTGAAAGGGGAGGTAATAAGCCTGTCAAGGGAACCACATTTGCGCTGGATTGTGAAGAAGTTTGCATGTTGTGAGGTGCCATCGTGTGCATGTCGGTGGTGATGTTTGGTGATGTTTGATAGGTGATCGGAGATACGCTTTGCGAGTGGGGAGTCGGTGCTTCTCTCGGCGTGGAAGTGGGTCCTACTCCCATCTCGTTTGCGATTTCAAGATGAGAACTGAGATGACCTAAACTCTGTGACACTTGGATCTCTTGACCTCTGAGCATAGCTGCTTTTGCTGTTTTGGCAGTCGAGACGATTTGATCGAGTAAACTGAGCTTGTCGAGAGTCTCCCCAGACATGTCAGGGTTAGGCGTGATGTTTGCAGCTGAACGGGAGGAGCCGGCTATGGATGCGTTGGGCTCTTCCATCAAAATGTCACCGTTTCCGAGGTTTTCATCTGCAAACAACGAATGTTGTTGACCCTGCTGATTTTGAGTGATGATCGGCGATGGGGACAGAGGGGAATGCGAAGGTGAGGGTTGAATAGAAGTGAAGGATAGGTGATGTGGGATTGCGGAGACTTGCTGCTGCTGCTGTTGCTGTTGGTATTGCTGTTGTTGAAGGTGTTGTTCTTGCTGCTGCTGCTGCTGCTGCTGCTGCTGCTGCTGCTGCTGCTGTTGTTGTTGGAGTTGCTGAATTTGCTGCACTTGTTGTTGATGCTGCTGCAATATGGTAGGCTGGGGATGCTGAAGTGGTTGACCAAAGTCGTCACCGAAATGATACGGTTGGAAACCTCCACTAAAAGTTGCACCTCTTTGTCGTCCGGGTGGTAATATATACGTGTGGGCAGGATATATACCGTGTACTGGCGAACTAGGTTGAGATGCCGGCAAACGGTATGCAAAAGGGGCAACCGTCGCCGGCAGTGGTTCCACAACGCCGTCGCTCGAGGAAGGAAAAGAAGTCTCTGGATATTGGAAATAGTCCTGACCCAAATCGAAGGGATGAACGGAATAGGATTCTGTAAAAGGTGGTCCTGAGCTCGAAAAAGAAGATGGAGAACTGAGATGGACGTTCTGAAAAGGTTGAGGTAGAGAAGAGATGTTTAGGCTGAGATTTTGACGCCGAAACGCCGTAGGTTGTGAAATAGATCTTGCACGACCGTATCTTTCTTCGTTCTCGGACGAGGGGGGATGGTCCCCCCCTGCCAGAGATTCGGTAGTGAGACTGTCTATGCTGGATTGATCAGCGATGATCGTCACGAGTGATAGAGATGAAACGAGTGAAAAAGAAAATGTGGGATCTGTGAGAGGTGAATGTGTTTTCGAGAGGGGAGAGAATGTGTGAGAAGATAAGAAGTCAGGAATGATGGTGACGAGAGAAAAGAAGTACCCACGTGGAAGGAGAAGGAGGAGAGCTGATGGACGGTCCGGAAAGCCAAACGTCGCTTTTTATCCCTATTCCACCTCCGAAACTCCCACCACCCCCACTGGGGTCGGCAGAGCCGGGTGTGGTGAAAGTATGACCGCCAAAGTGCGAAGGAGTTGTAGGCGAAGTGGAAGTGAGACTGTGATCCGAAGCCGGTTTAGATTGGAGAGGAGGTGTGGACGTCACGGTGGCGAGTGTCGAAGCTGATGATGTGAGCCCGGGTTTTTAACGGTATGTATATCCCGAGAGTCAGGATAGATGATTCCTGACCTCGAGGCGGAGGTGACGGCAGAAGCACACACAAGTTGAAAAGATTGATCTTGTGTGGAGAAGGATGTAGAATAGAGGAATGAGACTTACGCTTTCCCCGAATGACGAATGGAATGTCCAGAAATCAGAGATGAGAATCTGGTGTAAAAACTTTTTCTTGTCGCCGCTGTGTAGGCAGAGGATCGGTTTGATGAGTACGGAAGTAGCGACTACCGAGTGAACGGCGAGAGATTTTTCTTGCTGTGTGGCTTTTGGACAGCAAGTTGTCTCTTTGACCGAATTCGGAGTAAAAGGATGATGACAGGCACAGGAGAGGGGGGGGAAGAATAGGCTAGGGGCAGAAAGGCGCGAGAGTAGAAGAGGGAAGGACAGGCCGAGACTTTCAACTACGAGGCAGGTTTTAGCTTGTGTTGGTTGATGGAGAAGACCAACGAGCCAACAAAGATTTGTGTTTTGATACCGGGCGAAACGACCAAAGGGCAGAAGGGCAAGGGCTGAATGGCGGGCGATATGACGATTATGGCGAAAAGCAGAGGGAAACAATCGTCCGAGCGTTTCGGCCAGAGGGGTAATTGAGGGCCAAGATTCAAAGGTACCACGTCACAGATTTTCTCCCCTTTTCCTTATGTACTCCTTGTTCTCAACTTTTCCTCTCAATCTTCTATGACGTCGGATTGATGGTCTATTTGACTCGTCCGAACAGTCGGGCTCGTCGATCTTACGTCAGGGGGTCCCTCTCTAGCGGTCGGATTAAACTAGGCCGTGGGCGGGAAGGTAGATTCGATTTTTGGACTTTGTCGATATTCGAAGCCTCGAGGCAAAAGAGAGAGAATATGTGTAGATGGTCAAAGGACCTGTATTTTCGAATTTTTTACGTACAAGACCCGGCCGATTTACGATTTCCCCTTTTGCGTCGCAACTCGTCCTTCCTTCTCTACTTCTGCACAGCGTGAGGTGTTCAACCTCACAACGATGGTGTGGTTCTGGTTCGTTGATCTTTGTGACTATATCGCTCGAGGTTCGTTTGTTAGGTAGTCAACACACGACTCTTGTTCAAACTTTTTTACGTCCGAGTTTCAATCGTGTTATCCTCAATGGTACGTGTGACGTATGAGATAGTCGAAGTCGAGACCGTTGGCGGTACAGTATTGGTAAAGGAGTAAAAATGAAGAAGGTACGAAGACCAAGGGGCGTAACGTGTGTAAAGGACGTCCCCTTTGCCGTTGCCGACTTTGTGATATTTTCTTTCAACGTTTCAATATAGATCTATAAATTTCTATTTTCCAACAAAGGGAGTGTGTCAAGTTTGATCAAGCAAATGTTACAAAGGTGATAAGAAAGTGTTGATATCGTCGGAAGCTTGAGCCAGAGGGGATTAGACGGTATGCTTGATGGGAGACAAGAGACGAAATTCGGGCTTTACTCTGGTATGGTACAGTTGTCTATCAGGAATGAAGGAATATTATTCGGCCGGACTACTACTGCATGCAGCTCTATCCTCTGATCCTGTGGCCTGTTGGCCGCTTTAGACGAGCAGAGGAAGAGAGACAAATTAGGCGCTAGGTGCAAGGGCCAGACCTGCACAGGGGATTTTTTGGACAATTTTTTAAACCCTTAAATTTCCCCGGGTTCTCACGCCGTCCCGAAACTTTCTCCATTTCTCTAACCCGAGTACGAAAATTGGGAGACTTTGAAAAAATAAGGGGAAATTCCGATTACATTCGTGTCAAATTTTCCGAAAAGGCAGAAGAACAGAATGGAAGCAGAAATTTCAAAAGGAAAATTAATGTCATGAGTTTGTCTCTCTGTCCTTAGCCTAACTTCCGAACCCTGTCAAAGACCTGGGGTAAAGGTTCAATCTTACAACAAGACGGGAGGAGGTCTTTGGAAAAGTCATGAGTCATCCGTTGTCTAAAAGTGCGCATGTCCCGAGACACATTCATGTCCCTCGTGGCTGTCAGAGGCGTTGCCTGGTGATAATGGTTTTCTTAAGCTGAGAGGGTAGGAAGGAGGAAGGATGATTGGGAAGTTGCAACAAATATAATCGTCGTACTACCGTACTACGGACTACTACTGACTCTACTTTAGACACCAGACAATAAAGCTCTTCCCGCACGAACGCCAAGCCCAGACGCCCGCAGTCGTTTCTAATCTTCGGATGGCTGACTTCCGGATAATGGGACAACGAGTACGAGGTAATGATATGACTCCTGCGCGCTAAGACATAGCTAATCGTCTCCGACCAGAGGGAGATGGAGAGAGAGCATTTTCGTAGCAATTTCGAACAAATAGTCTAAACATTCCGCTTGAGTCTTTGCTTGTTCCCATGTGTTTCCTGATCGTCAGGTCTAAATCCTTGCTGACGAACGGATAAAGGGAAGAACATACCCCAAACGTAAACGCCATGTCTTCTGACCAGTATCGCGGGTGCGTCAGGATACTTCCTCATGGCCTGTCATTGTCAGCCTGGTTCGGACTTGTCCTCCATCCAAAGATCCGTACTCTTTTGACCTTGTCGAAAGCTGGGGTATCCAATCTGAAAGATGAGGACTGAGGAAAGTCCGGATGGATGAGGCTCGGTAAAGAATACAAAACACCAAGCTCACCTCCGCCATGCCATCCGTTAAATCCTCTTCATCCGCCGTATTCTCAATAATCGGTATTTCGAGCGTATCAAAAAACCTCAAAGTCTTCCCCACCCCACCTATTCTCACACCTTTTATCATCTCCTGATGACTCATCTTGAAGCTTTCCGCTTTTTTACCCAATAACAAAGTGAGTAATACGGCATGTTGTGAATGTGTATGTATACAAGCTCCAGCGTTTCTCATGGTGAATGCGTTCCAGAATAATGGTGTACATGCGCTTTCCTTCAGACCGAGTTTCTTAGGGATTCGAAGCATATCTCTCTTTGAACCGGGACGAGGGATGGAAGATTGTGAAAAAGGAAGGACGAAGATATGTTCGGGGAGTATACGTTCTTTTTGAACACCTGAAGGAGCTAAGAAGACATGATCGTTGAGACGTATGGAGATTCCACCTCCTGTACCTGTTACCCAACCGAGTTTGTAGAATTCTCGACAGAGCTCGGGGATCATATTGGCAGGCTGGCCTCAGTATGTGTCCCGATGGGGATACCATCCACCTTCAAGAATATTTACGTTACCTGCAAACTCGATTGCTTTCATTTCGATTTCTGAGATCTGGAACGCAATATTCCGCGCTGAAAAAGAAGGACAAGCGTAGAGAGGTTAAGGGGAACAGTGAAAGACTTACATGTTCGGGATCATCACTTAACACCAAATGTTCTAAATCTTCCAAACTGTCCACCACAGCCGTGATATGAGGTGCGGAGGCGACAGGCACCTCTGTCTCTTCTTTGACCTGAGTTATAGCATCTGCAAATACCGGTGCGTGCGAGACGTCCACTATCAATGGAGATGACGATGAAGGGTCGGAAGGGGGAGTTCGAAGGGGTGTGTCTGGGAAGGAAGAGGTGGATGTTGAACTTTGTGAAGTGGGTGGAATGTTGGGCATATTGAGATGTGTGAATATCACACTTGTCTAGGTGTTCAATGATCAAGGATCGGATTACTGGTCGACCTAACTTGACTCTACTCCACACAAGAGTGTACGATGGAGAAAGTTGAAGAACTGAAGGAATCAAGATTTTCCATCTCGCACGTCATCGTCGGCCATCAACTTTATGTTCCTGAATTGAATTCACGTTCGTGGCTAAGTCTCCTAGTATTGGCATGTTGATAGAAAGACTACTATGTATGGCATCTACGGGTGGCAAGGTAAGCAAACCATATCATTCTCATTTGTATATATATAGTAGAGATATGTCCGACCCAGCGATGTCTCGAAAGAGGTCGTCATAGTCAAAACTCAAAAGTTTGTATGAAGGAATGTCAGTGGAAAAGTTAACAATTCGATCGACTTCTCTTTCACCTCGTCGTGGGCTACTCTCTATTCCCCATTGCCCCTTGCCCTTGTACACCACTGTACACTGTACCATTGTGGTCGCTGTGCATAAACCCTCATGGGCATCCTAGACCTTCTCCCACCTACGTTCTGGGACCGTATTCGACCTCCCACTAGAATATCCAGAGATCTAATCTTTGGTCTTTTATTCGGGATCACATTCTCCCTTTCTTCCACCTCGTTAGCCCTTTTGACTCAATCTTGGAGAAGAAGAAGGGCTATAGCCCGTATACCGCCAAGACCTATAGAATTGAGGAGTGATGAGATTGTTGCTGGGGTGATAGGGCTTATCGGTAGGTTATATTTTTCATTACTCTTCCCTCTTAAAAACCTTGGCAATCAACAATGAAACCGGGACGATATGATACTCCTGACCTTCGATACTAGACCATGGTTTGCTCCATGTCTTAGCAAAGATGAGAGCTGGCAGATGGTTTTTGTGAATTACGAAGTAAGCTGAGGTAATAGGGAATACACCCTTAGTCAGAATAGGTAGTCTGAGTGATGCACTTGGTGTGGAGATATTGGTATGTCATTTAATCTGAGTTTGTTCGGCCTGGAGCTGATGTCATAGGGTAAAGCAGAGGTACGTACAGTGCATGGCGGCTAGGGGGAGGTAGCTGATGGATAAGTTTTTAAATCCAGGAGGATCTGTCAAAGATCGTATTGCCCTTCGAAGTGAGCCCCTGGTCTCTTGTTCTGTCCCGTCACCTACATCTACACGTCCGTATGGCTCAAAAATGGATATAAAACATTGCGGCAGTCAGAGCGAGACAGGAATAGGTTGATCAACATGTATTTAAATAGCTGGTACAGGAATGAGAGAGTACTGGGAATGATCAGCTGAATACAGAAAGTCATAGAAGATGCCGAATCACAAGGACTCTTACATCCTCATACTGGATCGGTCCTTTTCGAAGGAACAGTAGGAAGTACCGGTATATCTCTCGCAACTGTCGGACGAGCGAAGTGAGTTCACCTCATATCTGCTAGGTACCCAAATGCTTTGTCTCAGAGATCACCTCAAGATCTCCCAGGGCGAGATTTCTGAGCAGAAGAGGGACAGTCAAGTACGACGATTGACTTTACAGGGGTTACGATACCGTCATTGTCATGCCTGACGACGTGGCCATTGATAAAGTTCAAATCCTCGAGAAATTAGGTGCTAAAGTAGAGCGTGTCCGACCTGGTGAGTCTCTCACCTTTTGGAAGTGCTTGAAGCCAACAGTCACTGATATCACAGCCAGTATAGTGGATGAAAAACAAGTAAGTTCTCACATTAATATACACACCACTACCTCTCCAGTTGGCCATGCTGATGTTTTCAGTTTGTCGTGAGTCTTTTTTAACCATCATCGCATATCGTTTGTTCATATCAGAATCTCGCACGTAGAAGAGCAGAACAATTCGGTCAAACGACCTTGGTCACTCCACCTCAAAGAGGAGATGACATAGTAGTCACTACCCAAGCTACCACCTCTGAGGTTTCTCACACTCTCTTACCTCTCTCTTTTCCCCCTTCACCTTCGTCTTCCCCCTCATCCTCATCTTCTTCTTCCAGCAGTCTACACATACTCCCCGATGTATTGGAAAAGAAACCCCGTGGATTTTTCGCGGATCAATTCGAGAATGATTCCAATTGGAGAGCACACTACGATGGTACTGGTCCTGAAATTCTCAGACAGACAGGTGGTCATTTAGACGCTTTCGTTTCTGGTGCAGGAACTGGTGGGACGATCACAGGAGTTGGAAAATATTTGAAAAATCATTTAAATGGTATTCAAATAATCCTTGCTGATCCACAAGGTAATTTTAACCACAATCCTCCTTCACAATACGTCTATCATAACGATGATTTGAAGTTGTGGTTAACAATCAGGATCTGGATTGTTTAATAAAGTTAGATACAACGTAATGTACGATCATAAAGAAAGTGAAGGTACGAAAAGAAGACATCAAGTAGATACTATAGTTGAAGGTATTGGAATTAATCGAATAACTCATAATCTTCAACTTGGATTGAAAGTCATAGATGATGCTTATAGAATATCAGATTTGGAAGCATTAGCAATGTCAAGATGGTTGGTTAAATATGATGGAATGTTTTTAGGTTCTTCAAGCGCTTGTAATCTCGTTGCGTGTGTTAAAGTGGCAAAGAAATTAGGAAGAGGTAAAAGGGTAGTGACGATTTTGTGAGTCTTCATAAACCTCTTCTCTTGATTACTTTCACTCTGTCAAATGATCGCGTAATCTATGTCTTCTCTTTTCATGAATCGATAAGCGTGTGCGGTATACTTGTGAGAATGTTGTTCAGATGGGAGGCAGGGAAGGTGAAATGAGACTGATGATGATTAGATGCGATTCCGGATCTAGACATCAAAATAAGTTTTGGTCAGAAAAATATCTTAGAGAGAATAACTTAAAAGTGGATATCTCACTCATCGAGAAACTCATAGCTTCATGAACATCAAGTGTTTAGCGTCATTACACTTATCAGGGCTGCATCTATCTAGGATTCACGGGTGAACTTCATATAGGACAGGAACTACTCGTTCGTCATGTCCGTTCATAATCAAATTGCATGTCTGCTTTCCCTTTGACGATGGACTTGGAAATGATACGTCACTACGAGTAATTTAAGTTGAATGATGCTCATATTCACTTGAAACAGAGGTATTCGTTGTATCGTGGTGTTGCTCCGATAACTCTCAGGCACTCAGACCACGAGGGTCGACTCACACATCGTCAGTGTCATGCTTTCGTTTGTCTCAAGGACGATACGTGGGACAGGACATACATCAAACAAAATTGTAAGATGTGTGGATCGTAATGGAAAATAAGAAAAGTCATCAAAATCGTTCTTCTCTTCTAGCATCAGCTACTATCTACGCAAATACAGATGAAAATTAGATCACTGACATCTTTCGAGCATTCTGAACTCTGATATACAACCAATTGATGGCGTCTCTTACACCTGTCCTATTGAATCAGCTCCATGTCTCTTGATCATCCTCAATCCCTCCGCTCATACTACCCTATGCAAGGCTCTCGGAAGAAAATGCCATAAGCCTTGAACCTCAGATTGATCTTTCCATACTAACTTTGTCACTCGTTCTATCTACCGTCTTCCCATTCCCGATATAAGATATTTTGCCCCGAATCATCTTTATCCTTACACGACATATAAGGCGGTACTGATTTCTTGATATCAAGCGAGAAACGAGATGTGGGTAGAAAAACAACAGGAAAAATTAAGATGAGGATAGCTTCAAAAAAACATCAACTCACCCTTCCAAAGCTGAAACTCCCATGACATCCAAACTTGCCATTCTCTCATCTTTAGCACCCCCATCATCCCATTTTCCCGTCACGCCATTCAAAGATGGAGAGCGTCCGTGTCCTTCACTAGGAGATGAACTTGGACCTGCTTCTGGAGATGGGGGATGAGCACGTTGCCAAGCTTCGAAAGATTCTCTTATCTCAGCTACGGATAATGAATTTGAATTATCTTGTTTGTTCGCTAAGAGTAAAAGGGGGAGATTTAATAGTCTAGGAGAGTTTAGGACTTTGTCTATTTTCGTCAACATGAAAACTTTCGACACAAATGGGGCGAGGGACGAATATCTTGATATCTTTGAAATTCCAAAAGGACAGATCATGGTGTCTCCCGGTGGGGAGGGGTAAGGAGTTAGGGGGAGGGGAAGGGAATTAGGAGTGGATGATTTGGGGTAAGCAAAAACACATGACTCACCGAAAACTTCCCAAGTTTCTGATAATCTAGCTTGATCACAAGCGTCTAGAACGAAAACGACAGCATGACATTCATCATAATATTTCGGCCAGATGGATCGTATATCTCTTTGTCCTCCCAGATCAAAGAAATGGAGTGTAGTGGAGGGTAAAGAAATCTTTCCGACTACTCAGTCAGTCATGAACACCAATGTATATCTTCTCACGCCTCTCCTCATTGTTCAGACATCTTCAAAAAGTTGACAACATTCTCCCCATCACCCCCCATCCCCTTGCCCCTATCTTCTGCGCTCGGATTTCCCTCACGGATCTGAGGAAGAGGTACCACATACTCGCATCAAATGGACGATATGAGACAACATGAGATCATGACGAAGGATGGCAGAGAGTGAAAAGATGAATCAGAGTAAAGAAGAGTGCAGAGATGGGTCACAGCAGAAAAAGCGAGGATGATCGACAATAGAGGTGGAAGGACAGAGAGTGAAGTTAAGGGTGGAGAACTCACTATTCTGTCCTACTGTAGGTCCAATCTTATCCGGTGGCATACCAGGCGTCACATTGTAAAGCGTTTTGATCTTCTCCAACATTGTCTATCGTCATTTCTGCTTCTACTCGAGGTCCGAATAGGTCGACTCACTGTCTTTCCGGCCTGTTAGTCAGTTCAATCTTCCACTCTTCCACTCATACAAATGGATGATGCAGAATACGTTAGAGTCAAAAGCATGATATTTTACGTCTTAGTACTGGAGAGAGTACATGAATAGAAAAAGAAAGAAAGTAAGAAAATGGGATCATGGGGAGGTCAGGAGAAGAGGAGAGGAGATAGACTGAAGACTGACATTGTCAAGACCTATGATGACTACCGAGTACTCATCTTTCCTTGTCAAATGTTCATGTAAACCTTTGAGGAGATGATACATCTTGTAGTTCTGGTGTCCTATCTATTTCTTTTGTCTGGCGACCGCATGAGTAGTAAGGATATGTAAAGGATCGTGAACTTCCAAACGGTTGAAGGTGACACTACTTGACTTGAAAAATCGAAGTCAAAAATTGGCCAGCGAATGACATTTGTGAATCGTGACTAGTGTCTAATGACCAGTCCCACACTAAATTTTAGTAATTTTCTGCTTGACTTTGGCCAAGTCAAACATGTTCAGAGAATATACATATCATAGAGTGCTATCATCACCAAAACCCTACTTAACATACATAAGCCTGACCTGTAACCCTCATCGTCCAGCAGCGAAACCATATCTCTCTCCGACCGATCTCGCCATGATATCCTTCACTGGTCCTAGCAGTCGGGTGAAAGCTTGTTCTCCCAAGGCAGCTACGACGAGCTTGTCTGAAGCGGCACGAACGGTCGCCGCTCGGGTTTGGCGGTTGATCAAAGCCAATTCTGGGTCGTTAGTTCATAATCGACACTTAAATTATAATAATCCTCAAGCTTCACGAATATAGACAGTCTTTGAGGGGATTTATGAAAATCTTTTCCATTGTGTTGTAAGAACCGCCAGCAGAAGAAAAGGCGGGCACTTGGGAGTCAAGGAGAGTGTAAGAGATAAGAAACATACTCACCCCCAAAGTAATGCCCTTTACCAAGTTGCTTTACCATAGTCTCACCCCCTTCACTCTTCTTGACGGCTACGGCCTGACCGCTCTCAATGAGGAAGAACTCCTCGCCTGCGTCACCTTCAGTGATAACATTCTCCCCGGCTGCAAAGGTGCGTGATTCCAGTACATCGGCAATCTTGGCTCGTTCTTGAGGTTGAAGAGAAGCGAGGATGGGTACTTCAGACAAGAAAGTCTCATATAGTCTTCGTTTGCGTGAGGTGTGCTAAGAATCAGCACATACAGATTGGTCTGTTGAGCATCTATTTTCGCTAACAGATGAATAGCACAGAGGAATTGCGAGATAGATGCGATCGTAATGGCAAGGGGAAGAAAAGCCACTCACATCCAGCAAGATAGTCCGGAAAGACACTCTGTCAAGAGCCCACACAGTACATGGTGTAATGGAGATGATGGAAGCTGCACGAGGGGCACTGTCGATCAGTCACAACATTTGTAAGACAAGCACGTTTGACCTACTTGTGCATCAACGCCAGCTCGCCAAACGAATCGCCCTCAACACACGTCGCCACTTTCTTGCCCAACAAAGATCTGTCTCCCTTCTCCGGGTCAAGCACCTGCCCTTCTTTCTTCACAAACACATCGAGCTTGCCGCTCTCAACAACATAGAAATAATCTCCCGCAGCACCCTGTTCGATGATCATTTCTCCTGCATCTAGCGACACTTCTTTCATGGCGGCGAGAACATCAGCTTCCTGCTCTTCGTCAAGGTTGCGGAACAGAAAGTTTGGCTTGATAGCAGATCTGATCCGAGCGACTTGTTGTTCCGTCTTTGGATACACCGGCATGGGACTATGCTTAGGGGTTACAGAGTTTTCATCTTCTTCGAGCGTTGATTCTAAACCTCCAGTGGGAGGATAAGGCCTTTGATTTGCGGGAACGAGAGATTCTGCTGATACCGAAGTACGTCTACCAAGAGCGTATGAAGGGACGATAGGTTCGTCGTCGTGATGATGTGTGGGTGGAGGGCCGAACGGAGATTCAGAAGAAAATCCTCCCGTTTCGTCAGAAGGCGAAACATCTTCAGTAGGAGCTATGGGAGGAGCCAAACCGAAGGGAGGTTTGAAAATGGGTGCAGAGGAGAAGGAAGACCCTGAGTTCGAGCCGGTGGGTACGGTGGCCCTCCTGGGACCACCGAAAGGTGAGTCTGGAGGTCCCAGCTCTGAGAATGGAGAGAGAGAATGAGGTTGGGTGGCTTGAACTCCTGGAGGAGGTACGAAAGATAGTGTCCCAGGAGGTCCCCTTTTGGTGGGGTTTATAGTGGTCTTTCCGAGACGCTCCATTGTCAGCTATGTCCGCCATACAAATTGGAAGAGAGTTGGAGGACGACTCACCTCTGCTTTGAGACGGTTCTGAAACCAGTCCGAAGCCCATTGGACGATATCTTGGGGGTTCTCACGAGCGACATCACGGTTGAGCTGGTTCAGAATGTCGGTCCACGCCTGGGAAGCCATGGGGAAACGAGGCGCGGCGCTGGGTCGAGGAGAGGATCGAGCTGAGGAATGACTTCCTTTGAGATTCCTTGTGAGTTATACGACCTGAATCAAGCTGTTCGAAGAGTGAGCTATGTATGTATACTGTCGAGAGGAAGAGATAGTAGGCAGAGGAAGAAGAAGGATGGGTGAAAGCGAGCAACGAGAGCGAGGATGGTGATGACGACGAGGGTTAGGCCTGCGACCAAGCGAAGATTACGTAAGATACACGCCTGGATTCGCTCTTGACGTGGATGGCTGAAGAACAAGTCAAGATCAAACCAACTTGACTTCCCTTTCACCTGGTCTCCAATGTCAACTTTAACACTGAATCAGACAGCTGCAAGACTATCAGATACAATCAGTAGACTGTCCACTGTACATATTGGCAGTGATGTCTCCCGTCAGAACACCGTCGAACCTCTCAAGCAGCCTTCCACCTCTCAGCTGTCTCACAATGAACAACACTCTCCCGGGTTTGTACATGCTTGAACATAGGTCGTATCTGGCTGATCCTTCAGTACCGTACTGTCCGCAATCAACCAATTATCAGGACGTGTGTCAGATATCATGGATATGATCTATGGCGAGTCTTATCCTGTCTAAACCTCGACATCACTGACCGGATAGAGGCGCAGGAGATGCGACACATGCAAGCTGTCGACACACGCCCTCGACAGATTGATTCGCTCTTAACAACCATCAGAAATGATTTGGACGATATCACTCCCCAATACTCTGCGCTGAAAGACAAAATCATTGGCATGGACGGGAACAGTCAAGAACAAATGGCAGTAGATGACGGGATGGACCAACTCACTGATGCTCTGGAAAAGCTCGTCGGAGAGGTAGCCGTGTTGGAAGAAGAGGTCAAAGCTAGCGATTGGATTCAGAGCTTTAGAGAGTAAGTTCTTTCATATCAGTCAGACCATGGTTGACGTGCAGAACGGCTCAACGAGCTCAAGCATTGTTAGATTCTCTGCAGAAAAGTTTGGACGAGTGTATGGTGAGTGAATGACGGTACAAGGGTGAAACTGATGATCAGGGATATGTGGATAGAGTCATCAAGTCGTCTACACAGGTGCCATACAATACAGAACTGGACGATCAATTGAGTATACGGCGTTTAGAAGAACTGGCACAAGGTCACGCTTCGATGAAAGGGCGAGTCATGATCTAGCTGTGACCCAATGCTGTGGCTCACGAATAGCTCTTATGGCCCTACAATCAGCCGAACGTTGAAGCAGATGGAGAAGTTTCTGACTTCACGTCCGGCCAAAAATGGTGAAGCCTTACGTCGGTGAGTCCATAGACCTCACCTCTTGTTATAAGGGTGCAACGTTACGTTGTTGTCCCCATGATGATTGTGAGCAAACCTCATCATCAGATACGGCGACATGAAATCCCGCTGGTCGGTCATGCAGAAACAGCTTCAACAACTAGACGCTAAGATTCGACTAGTCATCAACCAAAACTCCCCCACCTCCCCGGAAGACCTGGAAGTCCTTCGATCCCCTCATTCGTCCTCTGGAGATTTCTTCATTCCCAAGCAGAATATCAGGTCCAAAAGTCCGGCTTCCAATCACCGTTCCTCGATATCGTCGGCCTTTTCTGCATCTTCAGCGGCATCTCTAGCCCGTTCGAGAGCCCTTTCTCCTCAACCTCCCCGCCCAGCTCAAGATGGACTTCAGCCACCCCTACTGCGTCGACGGACGTCCATGGCCTCTAACATGTCAAATAGTACAGCACGGTCAGGCAACGAGAAACCACGCTGGAACATATCTACCAAACCTGGTCCTGATACTTCTCGCACACCTACGAACAAACGTTTCAGTTCTTATCATACCCCTCCCCCTCCTCTCCCTACTCACAGAGGTGCATTCAGTCCTACACCCAGTAGCGTCTCAAATGCGTCTACTAGTATTCTCCACCAATCTACCGGCAGTAAAATCCCCGTGATCAGTCCTAAACGACAATCACTCGCTCCAGGAGATTACTCTATCCCAGCACTAGCGGTTTCGACATCGATGGGTCAAACTCTCATCTCTGAGGGTCGTAATGCTCTTGGAGTGAGGACACCAGAACCAAGACCTCGTATCTCTAGTGCATATTCGACTATGGCACCACGACCTTCAATGACTCCCCAAGCTCCGCGTACTACCTCTTATGGTTCTTCTGGTCTCACTCCTCGTACAGCTCCACCAGGACGATTATCTCTAGGTCGTAATCCTCCATCATCCTTCAGATCATTCACTCCCACCCCGAGTGCTAGACCGACATCCAGATTGTCCATGGTATCATATGCCGCTCAATCGGGACCCATGCAACTTTTTCAGCCTAGCAAATACGACTTATTGGACCAAGAAGTAGCCAAGGTCATCGACGCTGTAGGATTTGATGGTTTTGTCAGTAGGTTAGATGAGCCAGTGAAGAGAGGCCAAAGAGTACCTGATCATATGGAATGGAAGGGAGAGTTCTTATTTGGTGCCGGGGAGAAAGTGAGTGGTGTCAAGTTGTTGAAGCTGCAGGGAAGAGCGGCCGAGTTGAGGGGGACAAATTGGAAGGTGATGATACGTGTGGGAGGCGCGTGGGTAGATTTGGCGGATGAATTGAGGAGACGAAGGGAGAATCCTAAAGATGACGTGGAGACCTTCTGATGTCTGTTCGTCTGTCGGCCAAATTCAATCCGTCCTTCTCCACTTCCTGGTGGTTGTAGCCGTCGGCTCTCGAGCGGGCTCTCTGATTGGTCTCCGAGGTATTTGGACTGAGGAGCGAATTTCGTGGCTGAAATCATCGGACGTGCCCATGAACACATTCGCGACTTGTTGATATCTGTTGTATATTCCTTATGCTATATCATCTTGCTCCTTGCTCTCCGTCTGACTTTCAGATCCTAGAACTTTGACTGGTTGCAAAAACGCCTTGCAAGTAATAAGAGTGACCCGAGAGTGGAGCCCCACAGAATAGGTTTCCGTTGGAAAGAATGAGCGGCGAAAGGCTTGTCCAGTCAACTGCCTCGTATTCTGCTACTCAACTTACTTCAGTATCACTTACTGTCTTACCACTACTCTCTCTTTCAATACACTGGCTCCCTCTTCAGTTCGAGCTCCAGAACCTGACGCTTGAGCTATCGGAAGTAGTGTCAGCGCTGGATAGGCCATCATCGTCATCACAGTGAGATCGGTCACAGGGAAGACGGAGCCAAGATGAAGTTCATGATCGATGATCTTCCCGTTTTGTTTCCCTACGACCGGTAGGTCCCCTTCGTGCCTCTCTTCAAGCTTGCTGACATGCAGAATATATCCTGGTGGGTGATAACATATTAGAGAATCGGACTGACGAGGTAGAACAGTATTCTTACATGTGCGATCTGAAGAAAACGTTGGATGCGGGGGTGAGTAGCTATGTTCAACGTCAGAAAAATGAAGGTTGATGATAGGGTCATTGTGTACTTGAGATGCCTTCGGGTACGGGAAAGACAGTATCTCTTCTATCACTAATCGTCTCATATATGCAGGTACGTCTCATATCCCTCTTCCAGACTATCCTATTCTTGTTCATTTGCTCTACACAGAGACAAGAGAAGGAAGGATCAATACTGGGGAAAGTGAAGTTATACTTGATGAAGGATGAAACAAGACTGACTTCCAGTTCTACCCGGTCAAAAGAAAATTGATCTACTGCTCCCGGACAGTTCCGGAGATTGAGAAAGCTTTGGCAGAGTTGAAACGTTTAATGGAGTACCGTGTGGAGATGGGAGCTAAGGATGAGGATTTCAGAGGGTTGGGATTGACCAGTAGAAGGAACTTGTGTTTGCACCCAGAGGTAAGTCGATCCATGTTTTGTCTTCTTCCAACCATTCTTGACACTCGTGATCTCACAGAGCATACGAGGGGAGTCGATCGATGATTGTTGAGAGGATGCCTGCTGGATATTATAGGAGGAAGGATCGGCTGTGCTGATTTCATAGGTCAGTAAAGAGAAGAAAGGCAAAATAGTCGACTCAAGATGTCGTGATCTCACCTCTGCATTTGCATGTGAGAAGGGACGAGCTGAGCCAGGTAGTGTTCCCCTGTGCAGCTATCATGAGGTGAGTGTGACCTCTTTACGAGGGATAGTTCTGATGACAGGAATTGAACAATTATGAAACTGGTAATCTCATACCTCCTGGAGTATACACATTGGACGATGTCAAAAAGTGGGGTCAGGAAAAGGGCACTTGTCCATATTTCACTATCCGGCGAATGGTACGTTCATCTCCCGTTTCATTACTATGCCAAAGTTGTACAATTTGGAACTCAACATCGGGCAGAATGTGGAGGCTAACTTCCAGATGCCCTTCGTAGATATAATCATCTATTCTTTCCACTACCTGCTCGATCCGAAGGTCGCGGAGAACGTTTCTGCGGAGATGAGTAAGGAGAGCATTGTTGTTTTTGATGAAGCGCACAATATAGGTTAGTACACACAGACCGCAAAGTTGACCACTCATACTTTAGATAACGTCTGCATCGAGTCTCTATCTATTGATTTGACTAGACCGATGCTGGATTCTGCCGCGAGGAGCGTGAACAAAATCAGTGATAAAATCGAAGAGTGAGCTGGATATTCGTTACCGGATAAAGCTGAATTGTAGGATGAAGCGGACCGATGCTACAAAATTACAGGACGAATACGAAAAATTGGTTGCTGGATTACAAGAGGCCAATGAGAGAAGAGAAGATGAAGATATGTTAGCAAGCCCAGGTTTGTCAAGCGTGTCTGACCTTGCACCAGCTTACCAACAGTATTATCAACAGATTTGTTGGAAGAGGCAATGCCAGGTAATATACGAAAAGCCGAACATTTCATCGCTTTCCTCAAACGTTTCATTGAGTATATGAAAGTAAGCTATCCCCGTCATCACTCTCATCAGTAACAGCTGAACAATCAGACACGAATGCGAGTACTTCACGTTGTCGCCGAAACACCTCAATCTTTCCTCGCACATCTGAAAGAAATAACTTTCATAGAACGTCGACCCCTCAAATTCGCAGCTGAAAGACTTACCAATCTCGTCCGTACACTCGAACTCACCAATATCGACGAACATTATGCTCTTCAAAAAGTCGCCGGGTTCGGCACTTTGGTAGCGACCTATGAAAAAGGGTTTTTACTCATCCTTGAACCTTACGAAACTGAACATGCCACAGTACCCAATCCCATCTTTCACATGACTTGTTTAGATCCTTCTTTAGCTATCGCTCCCGTCTTTGAAAGATTTTCCAGTGTCGTCATTACTTCAGGAACTATCTCTCCTTTGGATATGTATCCGAAAATTTTACAATTTCAACCGACGTTGATCCAATCGTATCCTATGACATTGACGAGGAACGCTTTCTTCCCTATGGTTATCACTCGTGGAAGTGATCAAGTACCTATCAGCTCTAGGTTCGAAGTACGGAATGATCCTGCTGTGGTGAGGAATTTTGGGAGTATCTTGATTGATATGAGTAAGACTGTTCCGGATGGGATCGTGGCTTTCTTTCCTAGTTATTTGTATATGGAGTCGATCGTTTCAGCGTGGTATGATATGGTGGGTCATTCGAAATTACACTCTCCCTTCTGTCAACCCACTTTCCCACGAGACTCTTGGTGGTGGTCTCATAGATCTTCTCAAGTACCACGGACCGGATTTTTCCCATCCACTTGGAGGACCCGCAATCTTGTGTATTGGCTCAGACTGACTAATTAGGGAATCCTCAGTGAAGTGTGGAAACATAAATTACTCTTTGTGGAGACACCAGATGCCATGGAGACTTCTGTCGCTCTGAAGAATTACCGAGAAGCATGTAATAACGGTCGAGGGGCTGTCATGCTTTCCGTCGCTCGGGGAAAGGTGTCCGAGGGCATCGATTTTGACCAGTTCGTCCTTCTCTCATACCGACCGATCCCCGTAAACCCATGTTACGCATATGCCTTTCCCTGCTTGATGATGCCCACTACGGAGTGGTCCTGAGCTGACTTGGCAGTAACTACGGAAGAGCTGTGATCATGTTTGGGTGAGCTCAATTCAACAAGGTCCTTGCAGAGCTGACTTTGCAGAATACCGTATCAATACACGGAAAGCAGGATACTCAAAGCACGTTTGGAATTTCTTCGTGATAATCACAGAATAAGGGAGAATGATTATCTCACTTTTGATGCTATGCGACATGCTGCACAATGTGTGGGACGTGTTTTGCGAGGAAAGACAGATTGGGGTTTGATGGTGTTTGCCGATAAGGTGAGTTGGGTATTCACTTTGGATATCCCCATCTCGTACCTTACAATGGAATCATAATCCTTTCCCCCTCTTCGCTCATCTCTCTTTGACCGAGTCTTCAGTCGTAATTCCAATGGTTGCGCCATATTTTAGATCTGGGTAGAAGACTGGTTTGGGGAGTATTGCTGACAAAGCAGCGTTTCGCACGTCAAGACAAAAGAGCCAAATTACCATTATGGATCAATCAATACATCACAGGCGCTCATTCCAACCTATCGACGGATATGGCAATCGTTCTGGCTAAAAAGTTTATTCGTCAGATATCTCAACCTTGGGATCATACTCAAACTGGAATAAGTTTATGGACTTTGGAAGATATAGAAGAACGTCAGAGAAAGGCGGAAGAAGAGGCTGAGAAAGGTTTGCAAGAGGTAGCGAGGATAATGCCCGTTCATGATGGGGAAGTTGTGGAGGAAGATTATGGTGAGATGGATGATCATATGTTGGCTGATCTCGACTTTCCGATGGATGTAGACGGGTAGAAATTCACTTGCATCAAGAGTGAAGTGATGTGTGAGAAAGTGTAGGTTGAGAAAGGGTGTAGAGAAATGGAAGAATGAGAAAAGAGACGACGGAGAATTTTCATCTAATGTTGTACGCATGTCATGCATCTAAAACGAAGCGATCTGTTTAGGATCATCTCGTCCCGCATAGAATTTATCGAGAAATGTTTGAGGGGCGGGAGGGTCGGAGTAAGTTTTGAACCAGTGCATGATATGAGGCTTGTAGATCAGCCACATTCGAGTCCCACTTGATCTCCATCTGTCTTTTGATCCTAGAATTACACAACGTGTGAAGCACGATGTAAGATTTATATGTCGGTAACATGACGGTTTTCTGAGATCGCATAGAGTGGTGCAGTGCCCGTAAAGTAAAAGCGGGCTGTCAGACTTTCATAAGGAGTAGGAGTAGGAGTAGGAGTGAGAGAGGAGATAGTAGGTGTGAAATAGGATATGGGGAGGAGTAAGTAAAAGGTGAAGGACTCACCTCCTGCTTCCAACAATTCATAGTCTCTTGAAACTCTTGTTGATTCTTTTGTAAAAGGATGTTTATAATGGATAAATCTGTGATATCTCTATTACGTTCGAAATCTTGTCTTTTTTTAAGTCTGATCATTGAAGGGGAAATGTTGAGTGAGTACAGGGTTACTATTTCTGGAGCCTGAAAAGTCAGTCTTCCTCTTTCACTTATTATCTCTTCTTCCGTCCCCCCCCCCCCTCGGGGGCTCCAGACTACTCTCTCTTCAGATCATTCATAACCACTCCATTTCACATAACACTACATGTTTCTTTCCCAAAGCCCTTCATCACGTTCAGCACCACTGGATCTCACTCCACATCACTCCATACCACGTTTTTTTCTTCCAAACTCACTTCTTCCAAATTCAATGTCTCTTCCAAACTCAATGTATCTGATCATGATGATACTCCCAGATTAAAGCTCTCAGTACGCTTACGGCTGGCGAGTAATGACGATGGCTCGGCCTCGGGGGGAGGGGGAAATATAGGAGGCTGATGAACGACTCACTGATCTATACCAAGCTCTATAAGCGTTAATAGTCCTTCTCCTAGCCTCTTCTAAACTCGCAGGTGGACTTGCCAATCTGGCTAATCGAGCAGGTATAGTCGTCATTTCGTCTTGATCTTCTTATTTCTCGATAGTTGTCATACAGTGTCTAATAGCACAGGTCAATTGGAGAGGAGCGGCCATCTCCACTCGGGAAAACCGATATTTCCAGCTTGGGTTTGAATGTGGCAGTCCCGGTTAATTGACCGGGCCGGAGTCCGGGCCACAGTGACCTACTTCGCTCGTCTGACTGCGACTCAATTACTTTCTTGTCTCCGACGTTAGCCTATAGTCGTCTTCATTGGCTGAGATCGAGAGTTGTTCACTTCAAATACGGCCAGAAAGGTCCGGTCAGAGTTGTCTGGAACTTCATCGGGTCCCTCGGTCGTTGGGTCTCTCCGGGGTCAAATGAGTTGCCAAGAAGTAAAAATTCATATTCATGTACTGACCATGTTGACAATTCCCAAGACGAAGACTGACCCTAGTGTCTTTCCAAACAACTTAGTGCCAGAAGAGGAGTAGACGAGATCAAGAACAACATGTCACCATCTGTAGCTGCTGCTGATGTGGCTCCTGGTCATTCTGATGGTTTGGCGGAGAAACCCAAAGTCCCGGCTAAAGCTGCTTTGGTGGGTCTTCTCACTGAGTCGAGAGACCTTGTGAGGAAGTGGAACTGACGTTGTTAGGTAGGATAAGAAATGTTGGTCATCAACAACATTCGAACTCTAGCTGCGGACCTATGTCAACAAGTGGGTTGCCCCCTTTGTAGATGTGAGTGTGAAGGAAGGAAATTAACGAGATAGTATAAAGGTGGTCATCCAGGTACTGTCATGGGTGCAGCTGCCATCGGCGTCGCTTTATGGAAATACGAAATGCGTTATAATCCCACTAACCCAGAATGGTTCGCAAGAGATCGTAAGTAACCTGTTCTCCAGACCCTAACAGCTACTCTTCTCCGTCTATCTGAGTGAAACTAAAGAGGATAGGTTTCGTACTATCTGTCGGTCACGCTTGTCTTCTACAATACCTCATGCTTCATTTTTCCGGATATTCCGCTTGGACGATGGACGTGATTAGAGATTATCACGCTCCTAAACCTCATGTTATGGCTGCCGGACATCCCGAAATAGAATTCCCAGGTGTAGAAGTCACCACTGGACCTTTAGGACAAGGTATAGCCAATGCTATCGGTATGGCGGTCTCTGGCAAAGCTTTGGCCGCGCAATACAACAAAGAAGGGTTTGAAGTGATACCGGGGAAAATTTGGTGTATGACAGGAGATGGATGTATTCAAGAGGGTGTAGGGCAAGAAGGTGAGTTTGAATATGTGTCTTCGGGTTGCGAGGGGAAGAGCTGATGAATTTAGCTTTGTCGATGGCCGGACATTGGGGGTTAGATAATTTGATCTTGATCTATGACAACAATCGAGTTACGGTAGATGGAAATATCGACGCTTGTTTCACTGAAGATACTTCTGCAAAGTTGAGAGCAATGGGATGGCATGTTATCGATGTTTATGACGGATCCAATGATGTGAGATCCGATGGCGTTCTTTAACCTCTCATTGCACCTCCACTACCCTCTCTATCTTACATCATCCCAACTGATATCTAACTTCTCATACCTAGGCTTCGCCCTCTCTGTGTATCCTGCATGCCTGTCACGAATATAAGATCTTGTACCTGTAAGAAGGAGATAGGTTTTGAGGTGAAGAATATCTGACTTACTTCCCAGTTGACCGCTATTGTCAAAGCATTCGACCAGGCAAAAGCATACAAAGGCAAACCTATCTGTGTCAACATTCGTACTATCATAGGTCTCGGAGCTGAAAATCAAGGAAAACATAAAGTTCACGGTACAGCTTTAGGTGATGATGGTGTCGCATTTGTCAAATCTGCTCTAGGATTCGACCCTACAAAGAAGTTCTTCATCGACGATAAAGTTTACGACTATTTCGCTGAATGTAAACCTCGTGGGGAGAAATGGGAGAAAGATTGGAACGAAATGATGGAACTTTATTCTCAAAAGTATCCCACGGAATATGCCGATTTGAAACGACGGATGGAAGGAAAGTTAGCCGAAGGATGGGAAAAGAAAATTCCGACTAAAGATGAATTACCTCAAGAGGATCTAGCTGCGAGAGTAATTAGTAAACTCATCATTGGGAAACTCGCACCTGGGGATCAGAGTGTGATGGTTGGTTCCGCCGACCTTTTAGAATCATGTCATGTTGATTGGCCTGGAATGGTGGAATTTCAAAATGTAAGTTCTACTCACTCACCATATTGCCATTCAACTTTCCGGGGTAAAACACAGTGGGATAATGAAAAGAGATGTGAGGAGGGATCCGAGAACTGACTCGTATAGCCCGACCACCATGTCAATAATGGTAATTGATTGGGACAACAAATCCGATATGGTATTCGTGAACATGCTATGGTGGCTTTTGCCAATGGTATGGCAGCTTATCATAAAGGATTATTCCTTCCGTACGTCATCAACTTCTTCTCTCTGCTTGGTATGGAGAATTGATAATATAGGATATCTGCTACTTACTTGATGTTTTGGTCTTATGCTGGTGCTGCTGTTCGTATGGGATCTCTTCAAAATCTTCGTTGGATAGGGATCGCTACTCATGATGGTTTGGGAGTAGGGGAAGATGGTGAGTTCAATTAATCTTATTCCTACCCACCTACCCCATTCATTTCAACCTCTCGACCTTCCGACTATCGAGTGTTATCCCTGATATTCTCGGCATTTCCTCAATGCCCTCTCTTTCCTCTCTTCGAACTTGACCATCAGCACTTTCACAGTCATAGTCATGTGAGCCAGCATCGGTACAAACTCCTGACTATGCGACAAAATGCTGAAACTACAGGTCCAACTCATCAACCAAAAGGTCTACCGATGTTTTCCGAGCCGTACCAAACTTACATTTCCTTCGTCCAGCCGATGCAGAAGAAACGGTCGGTTGTTACATAACGGCGATCAACTCACTGTCAACACCAACCATTTTAACTCTATGTCGTCAACCTGTTCCTCTTCTCAAAGGAACGAATCGATCAAAGATACAATTAGGAGGATATATAATTCATCCTCTTATCCCACATCAAAATCCAAAACTCACTTTAGTAGCTACAGGTTCTGAAGTTTGGCGTGCAGTTGAAATATCAAACAATTTACCTTATCAAGTGAATGTTGTTTCTATGCCTTCAATGTCACATTTCGATAAACAATCACCGGAATATAAAGAAGAAACTTTGAAATTCAAATCTGGTTTAGTATGTTCTATTGAGATTTACGCTTCTTTAGGTTGGGCGAGATATTCTCATGCAGGTTGTCATATGCATACTTTCGGTATGAGTGCACCTTATAATACTTGTTTTGAACATTTTGGATTTGGGGTGGATAATTTGACAAAGGTGATTGGTGATTGGGTGAATAGGATGGAAGGGAAGATTCCACAGGTTGGAGAATTTGAGGATTTGTTATTGGGTTATGCCGAGTGAAGGGATTGACAGTATTCACTGTACGTTGGTACAGTGTCTGGGTCTATACATAGTGATATGATGATGGATTTTTCGTAGTGATGTGATGGACTTTGATAAAGATGTTTATAAGTTGTGTGAGGTCAAGCAAGGAGAAGTGATGGATATGATGCAAGTGGTAATTGTGATGACTCTTTACTGACATTTGTCTTACGGTGTTCGGTGTGCAACTACCAGACATCAGGATGTTTGGGTGTTCCAGACCTTCTCACATGACAGACATCCGTGTCACTATGATTGACTATTGCAGCCTGCACCATGAAGGAATACTCAGTTTCAAACGACACCTGTCAACCCGGACAATGAGCCCATTGAGGTCATCCACCGTTCTATCTCAATGGTGCAAGATGTGTAGGCAGAGTAAACCATGAAGAAAAAAGTTGAGAATTGGACATGAAATCACTGGCTCATTCACATTTACGCCAAGACCATTTATAAAAACTTCATACGACAACGTACACTATATTCTACCCACCTGTTCAACCAGCTTCCCCATTTAAAATCTCACCAATAATCACATCATCCCTCTTTACTTCATCACCCCAAGATAACCCGTTCACAGCTTCCACCCTCGCTCGTAAGTTTCGCTTGGAAGGGTCATACGCCAAGATGAGCATACCGGATGAAACTAGGAAATCAAATATTCTTCCAGATTTATTGACGTCAATTTTCATCATCCGTCTGAGTGTCAGCTTGATGATAACGAACATTGTCCGTCACCAAATCGTATGTCTCTACGCAGCCTTTGTCTAACGGAAAACCAAATCCAGGCCTGGTAAGAGATTTGATGAGATCAAATTACAGGTGGAAGAGGTATAAGGAATATGATTGACAAGTGTAGAGGGAAAATTCAACTGACCTGGCATCCCGTCGCTTTAATTGACCCTTCCGTCTCTCGTTCTCCCGTATATACATCTCCTTTATCGTCAAATAAGGCTTAGGTAATACTCTCAAACTCGAACACAAGCTCTGTTCTTCTGTCGATAACAAATCCAACGAAGCGGCATTGGCTAAATTCAACGGAGCACTTCTTCTTACATTCCCTGGTGGACCTCTTGTGTGATCAAGTTGAGGACCTCTTTTCAATGGATCGACCCCAGGTGGTGGTGTACCGTGTAAAAATCTATGTTGACCTGCGTTGATCCGAGCTCCAGTGGGCAGGGATAAAACGTCTTGACGAGGAGCTAAAGGTCGATAACCTGCTCGTGCGGCTTTAGCACTATCGTACGCTTCAGCTTCGAGAGCTGTGGTTATTCCCATTCGACGATACTCTTGTAATTCTGCTATTCGTTTACGTAATAGATGTTCGACTGTTTATCAGCGCGTCCTTGTGTTTTGGGAGTTCAATATGATGCAAACGTAGAGACAAAGTGCATTAGTTAGAATGATGAAACAGACTTACAGAGAAGACCTTCGATGAACAATTCATAATCTTGAGAGGTTTGCATTTTAGCAAATGCTTTATATCTCTGTACCAATTCACGTTCATCTTTCGGTCTCTTTCTCTCTTGAGCTTGGATCTGTCCGTCAGATACGCAACAGGAGTAATCAGCTCACCTTCTTATGTTCTGTTAATCCCCGAGTAAAGATAAAGTCCTTGGCTTCTTCTCTCTTGTCCAATTTAGAGAAATATATATTCAATAAAGCCAATTTAACCTCCAATTCATCTTCATCCTCCACATCTGAATCTGGGTCCGCTCGACCTTTGCCCTTGATGTCCGTACCGTCGACTACTGACTCTGATTGTATCTCGTCCGGAGGTTCTTGCTTGACTTGCACCTCACTTTCTCCATGTTGTTTCAAACCTGTATGCTGTCCTTCGCCCCCTTGGTCTTCCGCATCGGGCAGTCGGGTGATCTTGGCTGCTGGTTGTTCATCCCCTCCGTATTTGAACACCAGACCAAATTCCATATCCTTCACTACCATCTCCGCGTCGTTCTCCAACTCATGTTCGAATTCCAGCCGACCGGGCATATAACCTGCTATTTCATGATTGGTCGGGGCAGATACCATAGGTGCAAGGTTTGTTCCTGCTGGGATAGCTAATGAATGAGTTGTTGTGGTTGCGTTAGGACCTGATATGACTCACCATGTGGTTTCCGAAGCTCCTCTATTCTCTCCTTCTTTCTAGCTAAAAATACATCGGGGTCAATATCAAATGTCCTATCCATGGGCTATTAAATCAGCTCTCCTGCAATATAACAATCAACCATACATCGCAATCCTGATTCAGACACAGCTCTCAAGCGACATTGTGTAAGACTCACAGGCATAAACTCTCTTCTCCTCTTCTTCCTCTTAGGTCCTTCTTCTTGCTCTATCTCCATATCCACTCCTTCGTCTCTCCAACCATCATGTAAATCTCTCCCATCCTCACCAACTCCAAGATACACAGTCCAATAATGTTTCTCACATTCTTCCTTCGTTCTAGTCCCCACATGAGCCGCAACCTCGGCCCAATTCCCTAACCCATTGGTTATCAATCCACTGATCAACAATAGCTCTTCATCCGCTCCCCAATCCTCTGTGAATATCGGATAAGCATGTTGTTCGACAATCTTATAAGGATGATCATTCTTATGTCTCAAACCTTCCCTTCCTTCAAGGAAACATGAAACACATAGATCCACTTCCTCACATTCTAGAGCTGCACAATGTATCCGAACCGTATGAGTGATATCAGAAGAACAAAAATCACAAGTATATTTGATTCCTGGTTCGGCTGGTAATCTCGTATCCGATTTATCGGGGTCGGCGCGATTACGCCTTTGGGTGACTGTCATACCTATTTGTATAGGAAACCCGAGGCCGGATGTGTGAAAGATTCGTCACGACTCGATTGATGATGCCGGCACGGAAACGGGATTGTGACACGTGGGAAGAAAGTTGAGATGTGAAGAATGATGATGTAACTAGTGACTGTTTACGTGTGAGGCCGAAAAAGGGATGATGAATGTGGTAAAGGAGGTTTCTTGGTATTGGCGCGACTTGGCCGAGGTGGACGAGAGGGTTGGTGGCGAGCAGCCTTCTCGCGACCCTCAACAGACTTATCTCGTCATGCCTAATGATATTCTCAACTTCTGCTTCTTCTCCTCCCTTCTCTGTCCCAGATAAGTGTATGATTGTCAATGTAGACTAAGGCACAAACGGTAGATATGAGAACGAGAATTAGGTTAATTTGGTGAAAGAGACGAGAGAGGTTCGCGACGAGATGACAATCCCGTCGGAGGAGTCAAAGCGGCATCGGCCGATCTAACCCGGCGTTATAAATTCATACCTTTCATGTGAGTATGTGGCATTTTTATAATTCCGGTCCCGGACCGACCCACCGTGGTCACCGGCAAAGTACCGAGGCAACAAAGTGAAAGAGATTCCATCCATCCTACTTCGTCCGTCTGCATGTTTGCTGGCTCGTCTTACAAGCATCTGTACAGAAGTCTCGGAGACCTTAGAAGCTACGCGACCGAGCGAAAACGATCTACGGGTAAAATGTTCGACACTATCGTACTTGGTGCAGGGTGGAGTGGGGCGGTGACAGCGAGGGATCTTGCCAAGAAGGGATATGCCGTTCTTGTGCTTGAAGCTCGGGATAGGGTAGGTGGAAGGGCCCGGACATGGGTAGGAAAAGGAGATACTAGGATTGATATTGGTTGTTCTTTCATACATGGGTACAAAGAAGGTAATCCCACTGGGTATATCGCCAAAGAGTTGAATGTGGTCAGTACCATCCCTCCGAGTCCCATTCCACACCCCCACGTTCAATATAGCGATGTGTCGTCCTCACCAGCTGACTTTCAGCCTGCACACCTTCCAAAACCCAGTGAAAGTCTGATTTACGGTCCCAATGGTAAAGTCTCATTCTATCCTCTTCTCCCTCGTACTAACGTTCTAGGTCCATTGTCAAAAGCTCAAGCTTCGAGTCTAACTTCTGCTCTATCTGCCGCTCAAGCAGCTTACAAACTTCCTCATCCATCCCCACCCCCTACCGCATCTCTTGCCTCAGCTCTTTTATCCCCTTCTTCTCCCTTATTTACCACCTCGACCACTCCCGCCCCATCGTCCGATCTGAATAATACCAACCCTGCCAACCCTTCTCTCCCATCGTTGGCAGACTCGACTCCTGCCACTGAGCTCGTAGATCCACAATTGGCCAAGGGACTAGCTAGGACACTCGAGCTTCCATTAGGCGTCAAACTAGAGAAAGTTTCGTTGAAATGGGCTGGATGGGAAACAATCACCAATTTCTCTGGATCCGATGCCGCTCCTGAAGGTGGCTATCAATCCTTGGTCGAAAAAGTCCTCGAGGATGCTAAATCTCACGGAGCCAAAGTCCTTCTTAACACAAAAGTGATCAGTATAGAGAATACAAACGAAGGTGTCAAGGTGATCACGGATGAAGAAATTTATCAAGGAAAGACTGTCATCTGTACTATTCCACTGGGTGTTTTGAAAACTCTTCCCGACGATTTCTTCCGTCCCTCTCTACCTACCAAGACAAGCGAAATCATTGCCGGAACTCATGTAGGTTGTCTGGAGAAATTACTCTTACGTTATCCTCATGCTTGGTGGCCAAAAGCGGAAGAAGTTGGATCATACACTTTCCTACCTACTTCTACAACCTCTCTCTCCTCGACTTCAACACCGAAGGAGATCTTCGAGGCTTCTTCACTATCCACAGCTTCTTTCGCTACTGGTAGTTTACCAGGTCAAGAGCCTATATTACTCACGTATCTGTCCGTGGATCCCGCGACTTTACTACTTAAACATCCTCAACAGGAGGTTGCAAAGGCTTTCCACGAGTTCTTGAAAGAACGCTTCGGAGTGCATGAAGAAGTTCCAGAACCGACAGAAGTGATCATGACCAATTGGCTCACCGATGAGTATGCGAGAGGCGCGACAACCACACCGAGTATCATCAGTGAGCACGGGGAAAGAAGCCCGATGGACTTTAAGGAGTTGGGACGGCCATTATGGGGAGGTAAACTCGGGTTTGCAGGTGAACATACAGAGATGGAACATCGGGGAAGCGTGGCCGGAGCGGTGATCAGTGGACAAAGAGAGGCGGAAAGGGTGGATAGGTTGTTGAAGCTTTGAAGTGCGTGATGGACTACTGCAATGCAATGTGTTATTGTGCTTGACTTGGAAGATATCTGGAAATCTAGGCAATTTGGGAAATATATAGAGGATGATGCAAATATTGATGCATGAGCAAAGACCGAGAGTGCTTATGCAGCGATGGTAACTTCGACTTCGACACCAGGCTCAAGAGCAATGGAAGTCTGGACGTTAGTGAACTCACATTGATACTTTTATGGTTCCATCCCGTGGAAGTTGCGAGGAGAAAACTCACAATCTGTTTGACCACCTCAGCACTGGAAGTCAAATCGATCAAACGCTTGTGGATGCGCATTTCGTATCGATCCCAAGTTTTAGAACCTTCACCACAAGGACTGTCATCAGTATTTTTGTCCTTTCATCGTCACTTTGTAATGTCTGTGCAAGGCTACCCTTTTCGCAACCTCATCCCTTCAGCCGATGAGGAAACTGAGACGGAGGGTGGATGTCAAGAGCGGGACGGTGACTCATCTATTGTAAGGGTGTGGGTGATGGATTTGAAGCGTAAACCTAAATACGGGGACGGGTAGAGGGGTAGGAAGAAAGTTGAAACGTACGTTTTCCTAGTAGTGTGCTTGAGTACCTTAGTGGGGAGTCTGACGGGACCTTTGACTCTGAGTGAACGATCTTTGGCACGATTGATAAGATCTCCACAGACTGATCATAAGCTTTTTACCACCAACACATTCTTCGTCTTGATTGCCCATCCCATACATCCACTCTTCCTTCCGTAACTTCAACACTCCCAGCTCCTTACGTCTTACATATATGCCCGACACAATCATCTCGCTACACGGACAGGCAACGAGGATGAGGAGTATGAGACGAGAAGTAGCGAAGGAGAGATTAATTACTCACATTTCTCCAACGACTTGACTTGAGTAGAAGTCAAAGTGATCCTGATCTGGTGCATCTGAGCACCTCCCGCACCGGGTTTCTCAAGGTCATCTTTATAATCCATCTTGTCTTGTGTGCTTTTCCTACTGGAAGATAAAAGATTGAAGAGAGGTAAAGAAAGAGTATATGAAGGGCTACAGCGACTCGGTATTGGACCGGCAAAGTGACTGTAGCTGAAGAAAGGTTCAAAAAGAGGCCAGGAAGTGAGATGGTGAGTTTCGGAGGAAAATGCCGTGAAATGCCGATGTGTGGCGGAAATGACGAATGGCCCTGTCTACGTATTTGTTCGTTTTGACAAGTTTTGACAAGTTTTGAATCGATCAGTCTTATCTTGGATCTTGCAGAAGAGATCAACGACACAAAATAGCAAAGAGAAATAACACAAGAAGAAAACATAAATAGAGATAGAGAGAGGGGGAGAAACATATTGGCGAGTGAAAGAATGGTCCGACTCATCACCCATAATCTACTTTCATGTCATGTTAGTGAGTATCCTCTCCCTCCTCTCGTCACCCCAATTCCGGGGTATTTACTTTGGAGTGTATCGCGTATTTCTCGCTAGCACAACTACGGCTGAATCATCGGAGGAATCAAAGTGTGGTATAAATAAGAGAGACGAGTGACGAGGGAGTAACATCTCTGAAAATGCACAGCTGATCAAGAAGAAAATTGCACCTCTAATAACTTCCCATTGGTATTTAGCGAAGTAGAACTCGTAGTTAGACCCGTCCCTGAGAACCAGGAGTTTTTAAAGAGGTTTTTACCAAAATTAGAATGGGGAGCATTAGTAGAGACTGCTAGATCGGTGAGTCTTCATAACCTATAGGCCTACCCCGAAAAATCAGATGGGGGATGGAATGAAGAAATTCGCATCAAAGGTCACACCAATTGTAAAGATTGGACTATCAAGTCAATCTCATGGTCAATGGTGGAACGTTATCGACAGAGGTTGAGATGATAGTTTGGAAAGATGGTGAAGGATTATGATTTTCTGATTACCAGCTCGGAAACGAATCTCTTCCCCTAATACAACCCGAAACTTTGACGGACGATCAATTGAAAGCATTACATCATGTTTTACTTGAATTACATGTGGAACAAGGTAATATGACTTGTAAAGGTTGTGGACATGTTTATCCTATATCAAATGGGATACCTAATATGGTACGTTAATTTCATCAACCCCCTTTTGTCCCTTGTCCTTCTCTTCAACGCTATCAAAGTCGTTCCTTCTCAACAGCTAGAATAAAACGATAGGATCGGGTCTTTAGCTAAACTTTAGTTATTGGCCGAACATGAAGTAGGAAGATGATCCTTTTCTTTCTTCCCATTACAATATCCAGTTTTAAATAGAATATCATGCATTTATGTTGTATCAACGATATCCATACCCTTGTGTAGGTCCGTATCCTTGTGAAGGAGGTCTACCTGTATACCCTTGTCCTTGTCCTTGTCCGTGATTCATTTGACCACTCGCAGGTCCAACACCTCCTGGTCCTGCTCCATACCCCGCAGGTGGAGGTGGATAACCACTTCCAACTCCAACTGCTCCATATGGTGTTGCGTTAGATTGGAAAGGCGGTCTGAAATCTCCTGTTGGAGTATTTCGATATCCATCGGATGAAGGGGTAGAAAGACGAGCTTGATCGTATCTCAATGGAGGTTCTTCAAATCGTCTAGGTGGAAGATCATCAAATCTATTTGGATTTTGAAGAGGGCGACGATCGTTGTGACCTCCAACACCACTTGTTCCCATCATACCCCCACCCATACCTCCAGATCCATACGATTGTGTAGGAGGTTGAGGTAAAGAATTTACTCCAAAACCAGGTAAAGTAGTTGGTGTATTTGAAAATCTAGAGGAAGGTGATGAACTTGTCTCCCTAATTTTCGCCCCTACAGATCCAGCAAGATTTTGTAAAGTTGATAATCCTGGTAAACCTCCTAATCCAGGTAGACCAGCTCCAACGTTACTTTCTTCTTCCATGGCTGTACCCCATTTCCTCTTGGGAACATGTTCGATTTCAGCTTGTAATTGCATTGCCTTTTCTTCTCCCACATGCCAACGATCTTTTTCTTGTCCACCGGTCGGACGAGCTCTACACCAAAACCTAGCAGTGAAATCTTTACTTCCGGAACATAAAAGATGACCGAGGGGATGAAAAGCAAGGGAGAAAACACCATCTTCATGTGCGGACTCTAACATGCTGATGGGTTTGGACGGATCAGGAGAGACCAAAGACCAATAAGCTATGGCTCCTGCCGCATCACCAGTGACGAAGAGTGATGGATGGATAGGATGCCATTCGATTGTGTTGATTTCTTTCGTATGACCTTTCAGAGGTTCAAGTTCGCGGAAAGTACGAATGTCAAAGAGACGGACGGTGGAATCACCTCCTGCTGTAGCGACTAGATGACCGGAAGGAGACCAGGCACAAGTGTTGATGGTTGATTTGTGGGAGTGTCTATTGTCAGCATCATTCAATCTTTCACCTATCTGATATATGAAAATCCGCTGATTCCTGATACTTTTGTCATCTTCTCTTCCGATTGATCATCCTCTCCACGGTCCCGCCACTAACAATGAATCCTGGTTTGAATCGACCCGCGTGATAGGACCGAGTAGGCGGTAAGATGGGAATGGAGACTTAACTCACAAAGTACTCAAATCCTTCCCCGTCCTAGGGTCCCAAAATTTGACCAACATATCTTTACTTCCACTGACCACTAAACCTTTTGAAGGATGCCAATCAACACATCTGACATCCCATCCATGTCCACTCAACACCTTCTCCTCCTTCCCTTCTCTATAATCCCAGATCTTGACCAATCCATCATCTCCACCAGTCACAAACCTCTCATCATTCGGACTCCAAGAAACACCATGACAAGCCTCTCTATGTCCTGCAAACCCATGAATGTTGGTCAAATGAGGAGTGAAATATTTGATCATTCCTAATCTGTCGGTCGAGACGAGTGCTTGACCATTATGAGAGTATGCCATTGCTCTTATTGAATCGTCATGTACTTGAGTGATAGATTCATAATTGAATGACGCTCCGTTCCAAAGGGTAAATTGTCCTTTATCATTGCCGGTCAGAAGACGACGTGCATCAGGTGTCCATTTTACCACTCTAGTCGGGGAACGTTCTTTGTTGATGGATGTATGTACGAAATGATCACATATCGAAGTGGAGGGATTGGTTCTATGTGCAGCGGGAGGGAGAAGCTGAATATGAGCTATGAGGGCGAGGTCACATTTTGATTGCAATAGAAACAAAACTGACATTGATGATATCTGACGGATTCGGATGAATGGTAGGTAGGACATCAGGTATGCTTTTGAGCTTTGTCAGCTACGAGTCAGCTTTAAGCATTTCACGAAGATCATGCTGAAGTTGGTGAATTTCTTTCTACAAAAGGGTAAAAAGAAAACCGTAGATCGTAGATCGTAAACCCACCTGACGCCATTTGACCACTCCGCTGGTGAAATCGACGGTTCTTCGAGGTTTGTATCTCGCCCTCTTCCTCTCATCATTGGCCAGACGTGTGACAGCTGCTTGATAGGAAGCTTGTTCATGCACTTCTTCATTATCGGGATGATTTGGCTCTAGATATCGGGAAGGATGCCAGCTATCTGAAGGTCGAGAAGGACCCGCGACAGACATGTTCAACACAGAGGTTTGAGAATTTGTCTGTTGCGCGTCAGAGTGTTTTGAGACGAGACGAACCAGTGTCTATGCCGATCCGTGTAGAACTGATGGTACGACCGGCTAGGGACTGACTGTGTGGATATAATAGATGCCAAGAGTGACGAGGGTGAAGAGGGAAGAGAGAGAATGTTATGCTGGAACGGTGAAACTGAGAGAGTGCCACCTGGCAGCCAACCCGTACCAACCAGTTCGACCAGTCGACGCACAGACCCTCCCCTCCCCTCACTCAAACCGACAAAAATTCTACTCACTCCTCTCTATCTTTTCACTCTCATTCCACTCATTTCACTTCTCTTTCTCTATATACCATGTCAAATCGTTGGATATCACAAATACCCTTCATACACACATGATATGACCCTATTCAATCTCATATCCACGTGAGGATTCACTTGGAATCAGAAGGGATCCCACGACACCGCCTTCCCTTGAACCCACGCGGCCCACGACTCACGGCTCAATCGCCCATCACCCCGGCATCCGGACTGTTAATCCTCGGCGAGTGGAGGCAGGATGGTGTACGATCCAATAAGGGATCGTGATGTTCCCTCTCCGGCCATCTCGAAACCTTCTCCTTCAAATGATTGGGGTCGGGTCGTCCAAGGATCAAGTACCGTTCACTATCAAGATCCTCGAGTAAACAATCCCGATGGTGTCAGAGCTCCACCTCCTTCTCATCCACCAGATTTTCAACCCACCGCTCGTCGACCTTCACCATCTTCATATCCAATACGATCCGTATCCGTTTCGGGATCAGGAGGTTTGAGAGGGTTGTTGAATGACGAGCCACTGGTAAGACCCAGTATCGGGCTCGGAACTATCGAAAAGCAGCGCAAGGTCAGTGGGCAGTCAGGTGGAATTTCAAAGTTGCTTAACACCGAAACGGCATCCATAAACAACACTACCAATTCATCCTCGACTCTCACGCCCAGCTCATTGACCGCGAATAATAGCCCAGTGCCGCAGCATGAATTCCTCGACCCTAACGGTTTAGTGATTCCCGGCCATCCATCCCGACAGTCAAGATCGCCTCATCTCTCCCTGTCCAGCGTCAGCCCTGTCCTCTCACACGCATCAGTACCACAGTATGAGGATTCGAATCATCACTCTCGCGTCCATCCATATCATACACCACAAGCACAACCCTCGAACGGATCGTCATATCGTGCACCACCACAATCAGGTCCTTCGAATTTCGCAAATTCGGTGACCCAACAACCTTTTCAAACACCTCAAACTCAACTCAGTCATCATAGACCCATGATGCCCCCGGAGGTTCCTCGTTTCCAGTCGATCTCTGTCTCTCCGCGAAGTCAACCCCAAACACTCCCTCAAGCCCCACACGCCAACCCGACGTCTCGTCCCACATCCTCTTCTGCCGCAAGTCAAGTCTTCTACTTTGCCCCTCCTCCCGCCCAGACCCCCGAACCGTCTCCTGCGCGTACTTTATGTCCATCGTCCGAAGAGTACATTCCGCCATCTGCAAGACAGACAAACAATGTGCCTGTCAGACATGTGACGGCTCCTTCATTTCGCGAGCCACGTTTCAGCCATACGCCTTCGGCAACTTCAGTATCGGTTCGATCGCCATCACCGATCAACAAAGTCATGTATCATCCCGCTCGTCTCAAACAGCCCACTTCAGTCCTCGTTCCTATTTTGCCACCAGAGTCTGAACAACTACGAATATCCGCCATGTCCAATAATCCGCTACGTAAAAAGGCCAGACGTCCGTTACCTAGCTGGTCTGTAGCACCCAGTTCAAGACTGTCCGGACCGCAAGAATCCGATTCGTCGTATTTCCCCACACATGATGACCTAGCTCGAAGGTCACAGGGTCCAGGAAGCAGGAGAGGCTCAGCGTCGGAACGTCGAAGACCTTCTATTACTCCAGGTCCGCTATTGTCCACGCTTCTAGAGAGACCAGACTCGCGAAAACCTACGCCTAGGGTGGTCAGTGGAGAGACGGAGCAAAAGGCCGGGAAGCAACTGAAGCGTTCTTCAGAGGGGGAGGAGCCGGAAAGGGAAGCTGTCAGGAGAAAGGTCAGCGGATCGCTATACGTCGGGAACACTGGGGCTATAGCGAGTCATTGTGAGTTTGGTAAACTCCATTCTTTGGCCGCTCTGAAGAATGTCCTGGCAAGAGGCTTCCGAACGCGAATGAGAGACCGGACAAGAGACATTAGCTGACAGTAGATAATGCTCGGCCAGAAGTCGGCGTGGAGCATCGCGAGCTTTCCCCTATCATCGGTCTGAAGAAATTCAACAACTGGATCAAATCGGTCCTCATCGGCAAGTTTGCTTACCGTCGACGGAATGGACCAGGGGCAAATGTTCTTGATCTGGGTTGTGGAAAGGGTGGCGATCTGAACAAATGGAAGCAAGCGCACATCCGGCTGTATGTTGGATTAGGTAGGTCTTGTTGTGTTTTCTCAATCGCAGTGTCCATGGTAGCGGACTCGATATCTAGTTGTTGTCGACAATTTGCTGATCCATAGACATCGCCACCACCTCCATCGAGCAAGCTGAAGAGAGGTATCGCAAACTGGGCAATCGAGCGGGATTTGATGGCTACTTTTACGCCAGCGACTGTTTTGCCGTGAGTTACTGATTACATCACTCCTACTCCCGGCAATCTCGGTGATCAACGCAGATGTGTGTTTGCAGTATTGACTCGCAGAACCCCATTTCCGATGTCTTGCCTCCCGATTTAGCGCAGGAAGATCTGTACGATAATGTGACCATGCAATTTTGCATGCACTACGCATTCGAAAATGCCTCTAAAGCTAGGATGATGATGGAGAATGTGTCTAGATATCTACGGCCGGGCGGGGTACTCATCGGGACTATACCAGATGCGGATTTGTTGTTGTGTGTAATTTTTCCTTTTCTCTGATTCTTTACCATTGCTTCCTCTCCAATGTCCGTCCCTCGGGCGGTGTAGTCAACTTGTAGACTATAGCTTGCTGATTGAAAGGGATCGCCTACATTCCATACCTGAAGATGCGGAAGATCTCCGATTTGGGAATTCATGTTACTATGTCCGATTTAACGAACGTAGACATAAAGGACTCTATGGACATGAATATCGGTTTTACCTTACCGATGCTGTGGAGGATGTTCCGGAGTATTTGGTAGATTGGAAGAATTTCGTAGCGTGAGTTAAAATGTTGACTCGCTTCATCGATCCCCGACGTCCAATCCGGAACCACCATCACTATAGGCTATGAAGACCATTGTTCTGATGAACAGACTGGCGGCAGAATACAGACTTCGTTTAATTTACAAAAAACCATTTCATTCAGTCTTAGAAGAAGAACAATCCAGTCGAGACTTTGGACCTTTATTGGGTAAAATGGGTGTTTTGGATCATAATGGTCATAGTGCCATGGATGCGGATCAATGGGAAGCGGCCAGTGAGTGTCATCTTCTTTCTCGACGTAGAGCGGAGTTGATGTGAAGATTTATATTTGGCTTTTGCATTTGAGAAGATATGACACGACGATGTGTCGCATTCCCTGATCCCTTTGCAATCAAAGTACAGTAATATGAAAAGCGGAATGGCATAGGTATGGGATGGAGTTGGTTAGAAAACCATTCCGCTTTTTACGTCAACGTAAGTGAGTGTGGGTGAGAGTGATGGATCGAATCAAAGGGATATCAAAGTCAGAACAAGAGATGTTGATGGGTTGAAACAGAGAGGAAAGTAACTTATCTTGGGAAAGAGACATTCATGAGATTAGAGATAATGGTTTCAAACTGTATCCCGTACCGCATGGATGGTTGTACGAACATATCTGATGAGTAGTGATAACATGTGAGGTGGACATCATTAGCCTCCAGGTAATGGCTGACTTGACGATCATCCCGCAGCATGCAGCATGCAGCCTCAGTCAAGCGACTGAAGCAGATATGGACGTCATATACGTGCCTCTGGTTGCTGGCCTCTGGTCTAATCTCTGACCCTCTGACCTCTGGAAGGATGGAAGGATGGCAGTAGGGCAGGTGGCAAGGCTAATGTCACTTTCAAAGTCACCGATGACCGAACTATCTTTCATCTGTACCAACTTCATCCTTTCCTTCCATTCCCCCCTCATCTCTCTCTTCCTCTCTGTACTTACCTATAGTCTTGTATAGCTTAGCAATTAGCAATACTATCCTCGAGTATCAACATCCCCTGTTGCTGCTGCTGCTGTGTACATCGTGGACTGTTGGGACGCTGGATCGCTGGAATATACAGAATACAGCAAGAAGAAATCATTAAACATAATGTCTCTACCCGATCCTGTCACTTTAGAGTTGAACAAAACTCTCAAAGTTTTGTCTTTCAACGTATGGTATGTCGTTTGATCCTTCCAATTCCAATTTCAATTCCCCAGCTTGGTTCTCTGATTCTTCACACCTACCTGTCCCCATCTGCAGTTAGTCCGTTGGATGTCGCTTGGAGCGAATCTTTTATCAAATAGTATTTCCAAATAGACACTCAAGGAGGTGAAATCAGAGGATTTTGTTTGAATAATAGGATTACTCGAAGTCCAAGGACGACGGTAGAGCCAAGTGACAGTCTAGAACAACGGTAGAATCACACGAACTTCAAGGACAACGTTAGAATCATATGAGCAAAAAGGAAAACGCTAATCATAGGGGATTGAAATACATATCTAAAGATAGAAAAATACGTATTCAAGCTATAGCTCATTATTTATCTGGGAAATCATATGACATTGTCTGTCTACAAGAGTTATGGGTATACGATGATTTTGTCATAGTCAGGGATCAAGTGGGAGGTGTTTTACCTTTTTCAAGGTTTTTCCATACGTCAGTCTATCCATTTTCTTCCATTATCATCCCATCCATCTCTTCGGTTCAGCTTTGGTCTTCTTTCAATCTGCAAATCGGTCACGTCCCCGGAAACCCTTGTCATTCAATTTTCCTCCTTCGGACAATCAGAATGATATCTCAGTCAATGTCGTATCGTTGGACCGGCAGGATCACTTTAACTGGTGGGAATTGGTTCGGAACAAGACTTTTTCTGTTATTCACCGGGAGTTTGACAAGGAGAGAAGGTAACCTATTGAGAAGAATGAGATTTTGAGATTTGGGATTTGAGACTTACCAACAGTGGTGCACTCGGTTCTGGTTTGGCAATTTTTTCACGTTATCCTATCATCTCAGCTCACGCTTTACCTTATTCTCTCTCTGGATCTCCTCAACAAGCTTTCGCTGGAGATTTCTTTGTCAAGAAAGCAGCGGCCAATGTGGTTTTACTTCATCCTGTTTTGGGAGAGATAGAGGTTTGGAACACGCATGTGAGTTGAATACGTCTATTTGACTTCCACATTCTCATGATGACCTGCTTTCCTATCCCACACTCTCATTCAAATGTCGGAGTCGAAGAATGTCGTTTACAATATCGTTCGTCTGGACTGTGTGAGAGAGATTGTGACATTGACCAACAGATGCACGCTGCGGGAGAACATCCACCTGATACTCGTCAAGCTCATAGGATTGCGGAGTCATGGCAATTGGCAAATGCCATCAGAGGTGCTGCTGCCAAAGGTCGTTATGTGCTTTGTGTGGGTAAAAAGTCCTGCTTATTCCACCTCTCCCTGTTGCCTGACGAGGTCCATCCCAGTGGGGGAATTCTTAGACATCGCTAGGGACAAGAGATCGTTGTGGAAAGGGCGTCGATGTGGAGAGATTTGTTCGGATTCATGAGGAAATCGCTGATGGCCAGATGGGCGATCTAAACTCCCAACCGTTCTCCATCCCTATTGCCATCTTACGCAATCACGCATCTCTTACCGACTCTTTCCTCTCCGTTCATCCCGATGCCAACATAGCATCTTCTTCATCCCCTCATCAAGCTATCTCTTCCCTCGGAATGACATGCGATTCTCCACTCAACACTTACTCTCATGGTAAACCCATTCCCTCAAATATCACCTCACAAGGTGGTAAACGTCTCGATTACATATTCTTCCGTCAACCGGAAGTTGCACGTCGTCGTCCATTGATTTGGGGATATCGAGATCATCCCGTCAGTGATAACGGTCATGGTGATTCAGGAAGTATGGGATTAGAACCTGGAAAACCATTACAAGAAAGTGTGGAAAGAGCTCCTGAACTACGTTGTATCAAATCAGAAGTCGTCTTAACCGATATGGTACCAGGATATGATTTTTCTTATTCTGATCATTTTGCTCTTTTCTCAACTTTCTCAGTTGACTCACCTGAAAAAAATCAAAATTCTCAACCAATCCTTGAACCGACCTCTTCAATCCATACCACAACCACTGGAATCATTGGACAGAGTTATGGAACGACAACTTCTTTCACACCTCTCATACCATTAATATCTGATTCTGAACCTGTGAACGATACGACAACCACTTTTTCTCCTCCTTCGCCCCCAATTCCAGCAATACCGACTAAAAGGACGTCGACCGATTCAGTAAAATCATCCACCATTCAGACTGCCTTGAACACTATGAGGATGTATACGTCTATTTCACGTCAATCGGCTAAGTTTCAAACTAGGTTATGTGGAGTGGCTCTGGTAACTCTGGTGGGATTGACAATAGGATCAGCTTGGCAACCGAAATCTTGGTTACAACCTATATTCACTCTCCTGGGGGGGTTGTTGGGTGCGGCCGTAGTGACGTTTTTGTATACCGGTTGGGTATGGGGAAGATGGGAAGAAGGTTTGTTAAAGGAAGTGACAGAAGAGATGGAGTTGGAGTTGAGGGTAGTGGAGATGGAAGAGAGAGCAGGGAGGTGATGCATTTTGTTGAGATACTAGTCCAGCTTTCACTGTTTAACTTTTGAGATACCACATGATTGAATGATGGGATGATGGACTCTCTTTAGGCCTGAGCATTACTGAATCCATCAAAAGCCGCCTGCTGAAGGCTGCATGGCTGCAAGATGGTGCCCATATGGCCATGTAGTACGACGAGGTCACAGAGAGTGATGTAAGGGTGCCACAAGCCACGAATAGTCAGTCACATTCCTTCAACCGCCTCTCCACTTGCCACTTGACTTTGCCTTTGTCCACTTATCACCACCACTACATCCTCTTTACACCATACATCATGTCACGTACAGGTGCGTTGAGCGAGAATGAGATACAGACAGAGATGAACAAGATGGTGAGTTCAATTCTAATGTCCGTCCGTCAGTCACCTTCATCCACGATCATCCCGGCCATCTCTCTCATCCTGTCAAACCATCATTGACATCTACCCAATGTACATCACCCTCTGAGACCTCTGCGGTCACTCTGCCACCCACAGACAATTCAGTAGAGGGAGACCATATCGCTCGTCTCGGACGTCAACCATGATCAAATAAGTCATGTTGAGAAGACATCCGGAGGCGATGATTTGTCTTGGAAGACGGGTCCCGATCATGAAACAACTCGGAGCTCGGAGATGACAAGCGTGGAAGAGACACACACTGATGTCAGGTCGCGTTCATCTCCCAAGAAGCCAGAGAGAAAGCGAGGGAAATACAGGTGAAGGCGGATGAAGAGTTTTCCATTGAGAAGGTATGTCTTCTTACAACTATACGTCCCCTTGCCCAGTCATGACTATGAGCACTCCCTTTCACCCTTTTGCTCTGTCGCCGAGGAGTGCCAGAGTTATCACCCATGTTAGCACTAAAGCTTGTATATACTCGAATACAGGTTCAGTACTCATCCTCAGGCCAAGATTGTCCGACAAGAATCTTTAGCTATCGATGCTCAGTATGAGAAGAAACGCAAGCAAGCTGAAGTGGGATGGAAGATGTGAGTTGTTTTTTTCCTTTCACCCTTCATCACACCTCCTTGTCCTGTCCACTACAATTCTTACATCTGACCCTCTTCGTTGTGCTTTCAAGTCGCTGCACGTATAGGTTCCTCCCTTATGCCGCGGGGCAGACGATTGAATTGGATAGTCTATCGATGATGAAGCTGACCCTCAGCGCTCAATCCACAGCACTGAACAATTCCCGTCTTCAAGTCTTGCGATCGAGGAATGACCACCTAGAGACGATTTTCGAAGCCGCCAGACAGAAAGTAAAAGATCTCAGTTCGGGAGAGAGCTACAAGACCGCCATGGAAGCTCTGATTCTGGAAGTGGGTTATCCGTCTACTCCATCTTCTCAACTCCTTCGTACCTTCGCCTTTGACTCTCTCATCGGCATAAAAATGTGGAGAATATCTCAATGATACAGTGGTGATCGGCTGACAACCCAGATTCTACTGATGCTTCTCTCCCCTTCCGTCACCCTGGTCCACCGTCCCAAAGATACCGATCTCGTCAAGTCTGCCGCTTCTACCGCTCAAACAAAATACAAAGAGCTCTCAGGTAGAGAGTCCAAGATCGAGTTCGAAGCTTCTCTCCCGGACGATTCTGCTGGTGGTGTCATCGGGTCTAGCATGGCGGGGAGAATCAAAGTCGACAATACATTGGATGCGCGATTGAAGATCCTCGAGGAGAAAATGTTGCCCGAGCTGAGGTATGATCTGTTTGGTGCGAATGAGAATAGGAAGTTTTACACTGTAAGCCCTTTCAAAATAGTTCAGGCAATGCTGATGATAGTGATACTAAGAACATGGACCATGCATCAATTGAGTAGTCTAGCCTCTGTCCCCTTCCTTTGTTTCTTGCCAAGGATGACAGCCTCGACTTATATGGCATCACGTTTGAAACTCAAGGCAGATGTAAAACATCAACTCAGTATGGATTGGAAAGTGTTTGACTGCTGGCACACCTCGTGTGTCTTCTCTCCCGGCTATAGCAGACGCCGAAGGTAATCTGTGAGTACTCTACTCGTACTGAAAGACTCAGGTTATCTTGATACGTGCGCATGTTGTCACACGTTCGACCGCTTATCTGCCCCTGATTACATGATGAGCGCTCCTTTGTCTTTCGGGCAGTACTCATAATCACTGAAACATCTCATACGGAAGTCAAGCTTGACTCGTGCACCTTGTCGTCTTCCATCGCGGTCGCTCCTTTCTAACATTTCACCCCTTCTGAGATACATGAATGTGTTATTGCGTGATATTTTTCACGTCATAAAACGCTCACAGGCTTCATACATTCTCTGCCTTCACTCACTTCTATACTTTCAACATCCCAACCTGGCAATGAGTGCTGACTCAAGTATGACAAGCATCTACTTCCAAGGAGACATGGAGCCAGGGCAATTACAATCTGAAATATTGGCTAATCGCCAATTTGGATGTTTGACCTTCACAAAGAAGATATCTGAAGCTGTTGGATCTGCCATATCCCTTTTTGAAGCTCCCAGGACAGTTGTGGACACCATTTCCAGGATGAAAATGCATATTCAAACACTGGAATCTAAGGGCTACCAATACTGGTGTGAGGCCGACCACTATGCTCAAAGCCGGACCGCGTTTCGTTATTTTTTTGAGGGTTGGTCACACAGGCCTTTGAAAGATTACAGTGTTGACACCAACACCACTGTTCCGATCAGTGACAACAATCAAGACAATCAAGACAATCAAGACAATCAAGTAACTCCTCTTGACATGATTATAGTGCCGTCCGTCTACTCTGATGTGCTGAGCATCCAACGTTGGCTGTATAACGAGGGGGAAAAGCTAAAACAAACCGGTGGGAAACATTCGACTGCGTACACAATACTGGAGCGAATCAACCATATTGTAGGGCTCACAGATCAAGCTTGGGCACCTGCAGGGTATTATCCACTGTAAGTAGTATGATGTCTACAATCAGGTCTGTTCTGACCATGCAGTATTGATTTGAGACTCTTCAACACCGACGTGAAGGCATTGACGGATTTGTGCCAAGCATATCACACCATTCTTGAACTTGAAGGAACAATTTCAAAGTTGACTGCTCAACCTGAGGGCTGTCAATGCTCCGAGTGAATCGCTGGTATCTACGATGTGGGAAGACCGGGCAATTTGATAATTTTGACTCTCTGATGGAATGTTAGCACAAGAAATTTGGAAAGTTGTGTCTGATCTCAGCTGGATTCATCGGTTGATACACAGAATTTGATGAAATTTATCATGTTCTACATCTTCTTGCTATCCCTGATGAGGTCTTCGGAGTGATGCTTTTCTTGCAGTATATGCAGCTAGGCAGCTGTGGCTCTATCACGTGGGCCCATCCTTTCAGTGAGAGTTGAGGTTGGCAGACACATCTGAGTCAATGTTGCAAACGGTCCATGACTACAAAGGTGAGTCACGTTTCATTTTTCACCCCTCGACAATTGACATGATTTCAAAGGAGAGAGATATTCTCATGTCACACCTTGTGTATAAAAGCAGAAGTGTTTTAAGCCCACATGGTTTCATCAAGATATCCATTCAGGACAAGCCTTCATGACACACCTGCATTATCTTCACTGCTTTCATGATTTCCCCTTGTGGAAGACATCATGTTGATAGCGCCTCGCCACCTGATGTTTTGGGGAGATATAAGAAGGGGTTATACTTACCCTCTCACTTATCCTTTACCTACATACCAATTTTGAACTGAACATACTTGCAAGTTATTCCCACTCAATGCACCCGTTACTTTATCCTTCACAAATTCAGGCAAGGAACACAGCATATCAAGAACGTCTGCTCAACTTAAGACAGAACAATATAGGACTTTGCACCTGTATCAATAGTGCATTGACCAGATTCCCCCATCCACCATCAGTGACCACAGCATTGTCTAACCTTGAGTCTCAAGCTCAGGACCTTTATGAACATCTGGAAGTGAAAGATCCGCGATCCAATATCAGCTTTTCCTATTTCTCCAAAGGATGGTCCGAAGCCTTCTACCAGGAAGATTTCAGTGATTCCGAAATCGAAAAACAGATCATTGTCTTCCAAGAGGATGACAAAAAACTATCCACTGCCTTCCAAGAGGATGATGTCTCCACTCTTCCATGGCTAAAAACCACACCATCCGTATATTCAGATATTCGGACCATCAAAACCTGGTTGACCGAGTACCAAAGAGAAGAACTGAAAAAGGAACTGAATGGTAAAGTTTCACATGCGACGTACCTCCTGAGCCGACTGGGAGTACTCTTAACAGATATGAGAAACACATGGGCTCCTCCGGGAATTGAGGTTGGAGATACGTGAGTGATCAGATTCGTGAGGAGGGCGCTGATCAAAACAGTGATGGCAATGGGGACCAAGGGACCTATGAGAGAGTAAATGCCTTCACAGACTTGATTGTCTTCTATGATGAGATACAGAGCAAGGAGCAAACAATCAAAGACCAAGCTGCAGAGATTAGCCAGTTGAGATCATTGGCATATCCAATTAACACATAGTTGAAGATGGATGATTGTTGTCAGGACCAGACGTTGGAAATAATCTGCGTCTATGAGCTATGGCTATAGGGCCTCGCAGGGAACAGACCTAGTGATGTAGTTTGTAGACTAGTGATGTTGTGGATCGAAGAGACTATAAGTCAATGAGATCAAGTGGCAAAGGATTTTGTCACAAACCATGTCGTAACATCCCTGACAACTACCATCACCGACCCTCCTTTCACCATCACCAAACCACTATCCATCACCAACCACCACCACCCCAAACCACTGAGACCGACTATGACGAAGTTACGGGAACCTAGGGAGTATTAGTCACAACAACCCCGCCTGGCGAAGAACTACGGCAAAGTTAGGAGAAGGAGATCAAGGGATACTGAGTAAAATGGAGGGAGCTAGACGAAGTACGGCTAAGTTAGCAGAGCAGGATGTTGGGGATATGGCGAGGTACGGCGAGGTTGAACAAAGAGGACTAAGCGTGAGGCTGTGCAGGAGTTGAGGGATGTTCTATGAGAAGAGAGGAGAAGTATAGATAGTTTACGGATCGCTGAACTTCTTCAGCGATCCTTGATTGTTGTCAGTAGCGAGAGATATATTCAGTAGCTACAACCTTCAAGTTGAGGAGAGCTACCACTCAGCAGTTCGATGCACCACGGCGAAGTCAGTCCCAGTTCATCAACGATCACCTTATTGTTTACCACTCGACGTATCACTACGGCGTAGTTAGCCGTAGTTCCCCAACAAGTACCCTGTCTCAGTGAGACATCGACGCCCCAAGACAACGTATTTAGCCAGGGTTTGTTGACCGTCGGTCAGTAGAGAAGAAGAACGGACGTTTGTGACAGATTTGCTAAGTGATGAGAAAATACATTCGACAAGACATCTACAAAAAAGGGCTGTTTCTATATACTAAAAAGGGCGCGGAGTGATACCGAGATCTACAGAGTAAAGATGGGAAACAATATGAGGTGTTAGACCAAAGGAAGACAGAGATAGCTGAGGGACACAGAGATGAAGGAAAAGTATAGCAGGACAAAGGAACAGCGATTAGGTATGAAAGGAGAACGGACGATGCCATGGCTGAGATTAGTGAAGCGGAGACGGGAACGGGTAGGTGGAGTACAACTTCTGCGTACGACTCTTGAGGAACCCATCTATAGGTACCCGTGATCCGGACATTACTCTCCCCCTTCGGTAGACGTCGTCTTGACATCATGTAGTCCTGTCAAAAAACAAAATTCCACTGAATTGAGTGTGGCATGTGGCACTTTTTGATCTAAATGATGGTAGTGAGGACGGTGATGATGGTAGTGAGGGCACATAATGTGATTGAGAGAATGCCCTAGAATATGACATGTGATTCAGTATCACTGACTGTCTGATCTCAAAATCCACTTTCCTGTGTCCTCTTCTCTTTTGTCCTTTTACCTCATCACTTTCTTTTACTAACATCCATTGTATCTTTGCTAAATCCCCTTCTAGAATATCTTTTGGCGAATCACCATGTCTGAAAACGGTAATCCTGATGATCGTCGTCCCCAAGTTCCTCCTCGTACTCCTGTGAGAACTCTTCTGAAAACGATTTCTAATGGCTGATTATATTTTTTTCAGTGGTAGAATCAACCACGGGTTGCACGGCCTAATGATTTGTGTCAAGGGGATTCCAAAAATGTTAACCCCCCTCCTCCTCCCTTGGATGGTCATAGTTGCAGTCCTCCTCAGGGTGACAAGAATTGCGGTACCGGGCCCTCGTTTGCCGACGCACCTGTCCAGAATCCTGTCGGAGGTGGTCTAGAACCTCAGAGCGTTGTTGTATATTGCACTCCGTTGGCGCGCACCACGGGGAAGGGTGTTTCAGATTCATTGCCCCCTCCTTACATTGAGGATGGCGAGATTGTGGTTCCCAAAGAGGGTGGTCGTCAGAACGCATATCACAATGTTGAAATTGTCCCAATCATGACCGAAAGTCCGACAGCACAGGTAAATCTTTTCTCAATTCCCTTTCCAAAACACTAATTGGGTGTTAGGGGTTTCTGAAGTACCTCAAATTGTGGGCCGATTTGAAAGCCGTGTCAACCAAGGAGAAGGTCAAACCGATAATAGACCTTCTGAAAACGAAAGGTGCAAATTATTGGCCGTTTGTCTACACCGTGCTCAAATTGTTCCGAAATGTTGAAAGAGAGAAAGGGAAGGTGGTCTTTGAAGAGGAGTAAGTGGCATTGCCTAGTCCCAGTTGTAAGGTTCTCAGGATCTACTAACGTGTGGATCAGGGGACAGTAAGCCCATGTCGCTTTTTTGGTGAGGGGTGATTGCTGACAGGGAAATTGCTTTTGGTGTCTCATCGACAGGGGTACCTGTAATCTATGTACGGATTCCCGGGTTGGACCTAGGTCCCAGTTGAAACTCTCTATGGCCCAATACGGCTTCCTTTTTCCCCCAGTTCGATCTGGCTTTAGCCCATTTGGCGGAGGTTTTGGCTCATCTGTATGGGCACCCCAATTGCAATTGTGAACACATGGATATCGCTTATGCTGCAGGGTGGAAGGTCGCTGTGGTAGGCGTTTCTGTTTTTGGGAAGTCCTCTCCGCTTACAGAAGTAGGCTATTGACACCGCTAAGGTACAGGGTGAAGATAAACGAGTGCCGGGTTGTTATTTCGGAGAGTGGTCGTTGTATTGCTTGGACGAGGGTATCAATGTTGGTTCCTGGCTATTTGAACCCCCTCAGACTGTCACGAACTACGTCGTGACACCTCAGATTCCACCAGCAATGACCCTCCTTTGACCATCAAAACCCCTATCACGTCTTAACCTTGTCACCCCACACGTAACTTAGGACATCTGAGACCAAGTACGGCGAAGTTAGACGGAGTTAAGAGAACTAGGGACAATGGGAGCAGAAGTAAGGCGAAGTTAGGCGGAGTTAGGTGAACTAGGGACAATGGGAGCAGAAGTGCGGCAAAGTTAGGCGGAGTTAGGTGAACTAGGGACAATGGGAGCAGAAGTTCGGCGAGGTTGGGCGGAGTTAGTTGAAGGACAGGGAAAGACGGCCGGGACTCAGGGAAGTTGGACGAAGTGTGTTGAAGTACGTCTAAGCGCGAGAGGGTTGGGTGAAGATCTAGGAGGAGTAAATAATATTAGCTGAGAAGATCGCTGAAGTTCTTCAGCAATCCTTGATTGTTGTCAGTAGTGAAAGACAGATAGAGATAGCTATATACAAATCGAGATACATCGCCAACAGTAGAACAAAACCCCAGTTAGAGTAACTACGCCGAAGTAAGCCGTAGTTACACTCCTTTCGACGTCTGTGCCCTCCTGGTTGGGTGAGACATTGACTTAGAAGCGTCAAGTTATCCGAGGTTCGTCGACCGTCGGTCTGATAGAGAGTAGTCGTTCGACGGCCGTGACAGCCAGCTGATAGGGCAGCGCTTGCAGGGCCAGCGCCAGTCGGGTCCGCCGCACCAGTCGAGTGTATGAGCAAGGTCATTGGAGGGGTTATTGATGGGGTCATTGGTGGGGTTATCAGTGGGGGATCAAAGGGGGTATCGACAGAGGAATCATCACAGGTACACATCCCTGCCTCGGAGCTATCCAACTGAAAGTTTCACATGTCTAGTACAGAGCTGATGACCAGACGTTTCCAGCACCATTTCCCTTCCTATTCCAAAACTACAGTCCTCAATGACTCTTCGTGACACATTGGCCAATGACCAATTGGAGGAAGTAGAGGTTGTAAGGAACAAAGATGGTACAACAGTGGGTCTCAGTTCTTTGATCTTCCCTTTAACCTTTCTATCATCTAACTCCATTACTTCCCTTCCTCTCCCACCGAGTGCCTCTCCAGTTCACACTGGCGGTCCAGCCAGGTGGGTTCACCTATGGCTTGCATCCGGCCATTTCACGCTGGTTGGGTCTAGTTGTAGGGGGAAATTCTGCACTGACTACCCGCATCCCCCACCTACCCGCACTCTGGCATCAGCCTATGACTACCCTGCCTACTCCCACCACTGAAGAAGTGATGCTCGTGCATGTGTACAAGTCCACCCCTGGCATTATTTGTTGGTTGACCAGGATCTCTGTCCATGCCCTTGGCTGCAAGTCTCTGGTGGATGACCGCTGCACGCCGGGTAGAGGTCCACTTCTGATGTGTGTGGGGGAAACATAGAAGGGGTCATGGTTCTGAAAGCTAGGGGGGACACTGGAGTTTCCTGCTTTGGTGGGGGATGTCTGCTGGATGGAAGTAGTGATAAGTCGCCTCTCAACGGCACGGCTGCTTGTGACAGCTGGGGCATCTCAATCTTACCTCTCCGTCACTCTTGCATCCAATGAACTACTGTCTCATGTGATCACTACACTCTGCTGCTGTTTTAATTTGTGTCTGGTGACTGGTTTGAAGTCTGTTCCATGTGCCCGTACTCAACGTCGGAAACGGGCATGTCTTACTCGTGACCACCACCGCACCCTCGACACCAACGCCCATGCCGCCAATATCATTATCCCTTCCCTGCTTGATAAACTGCAACACTGGCCAATCAAATATAACATCACACTATCTCAAGCTGCTCAAATTCTCCCTCTCAAAGACAAACTATCATTCCTTACCCATTCTCTTGGTATCTGTCACACCAACTTTCACGGTATCTCGGTGAATCATTGTCCTGAACAATACACCTGTCTTTCTGCCACAGAAGAGGCTCGCCAAACTCGTGAAACTGGATACCTTAATTTCTTGGAGGCAGTGGGTTTGGATGTGATACTTCTGACAAGTGGGTTCAACGTTCTGAAGGACTCAGTTTTGGGTGAATATGTGGGCATCATAAACTTCCGGGATCTGAGGTGTCTCTCAGTCAAAGATCGGGATGAAGTATTGGAGTGTATGAAGACGTTAAATCTGGTGACACATACAACACATATCTTAATCAACCTTAATGGAGCCGCAAAATCTGGAGGAGGTCATGGGAGGATGCATGCTTTTGGTTGGAAGGGCTCCTTTGCCGGTGGTGTGACTCGGTTTGACCAATACACCCCAAAAGCTGGAAAACAAGACAAATGGAAAGCTTTATCAGATGGAAAGATGACTCAGGTTGCCAGGCATCTTGTAAACCGTTTTGGGATGTTGCATTAACATGGACTTCAGGAGGTGGAGGGACATGCTGCTAAGGAGGGAATACCCTGGTTTGACGCTGCTCATGTGGACGTAGATATTGGAGATCCGGACAACTTACCATTGGGTGCAAACTCCCTGACAGTTACCTGCAATGGATTCTCCAACATCCACCACCGTGATCAACAAAAATCTCTTTGGGCATTTGGGCTCTTCTGGAGTGGCAAGAGTAAAGGTGGTAGGTTCACAGGGGAGGTGAGGGAGGTGTGCACAGCGATCAGTGGAGGTGAGTTCTGGTGGGCTGAAGATGGAGTGGCAGTGGGAGCGGCACCAGACGATGTGTATGCGGAAGTGGCATGGCGGGTGTCACAACGTAGTTCGTGACACCTCAATTATTCCACCAGCAATGACCCTCCTTTGACCATCAAAACCCCCGTCACGTCTTAACCCCTTCACCCTACACGTAACTTAGGACATCTGAGACCAAGTACAGCGAAGTTAGACAGACTTAGGTGGACTAGGGACAATGGGAGCAGAAGTACAGCGAAGTTAGACGGGGTTAGGTGAACTAGGGACAATGGGAGCAGAAGTGCGGCGATGTTAGGCGGAGTTAGGTGAACTAGGGACAATGGGAGCAGAAGTGCGGCGATGTTAGGCGGAGTTAGTGGAAGGGAGGAGAAGGACGGCCGGGGACTCGGGGAAGTTGGACGAAGTGCGTTGAAGTACGTCTAAGTCGAGAGGGTTGGGTGAACATCTAGGAGGAGTAAATAATATTAGCTGAGAAGATCGCTGAAGAACTTCAGCAATCCTTGATTGTTGTCAGTAGTGAAAGATTGATAGAGATAGCTACATACAAATTAAGATACATAGCCATCAGAGAAAAACCCCAGTTAGAGTAACTACGTCGAAGTACGCAGTAGTTACACTCCTTTCGAGGCCTACGCCCTTTTGTTTGGGGTGAGACATCAAACCCGTAGTGTCAAGTTAGCCGAGGTTCGCCGACCGTCGGTCTGTTAAAGAGAAGTTATTTGACGGCCGTGACATCTCCAGTTCCTCTGTTCTAATGCCTGCTAAGGCATAACCTCTCAGTCTCTTGTTCTCACATGTCACGGCCGTCGAACAACTATTTTCTGGCAGACCGACGGTCGACGAACCTCGGCTAACTTGATGCTCCTGAGTCGAAGTCTCACCCAACCGAGAGGGCGCAGACGTCGAAAGGAGTGTAACTACGGCGTACTTCGGCGTAGTTACTCTAACTGGGGTTTTGTTCTACTGATGGCGATGTATCTTGATTTGTATATAGCTATCTCTATCTGTCTTTCTCTACTGACAACAATCAAGGATCGCTGAAGAACTTCAGCGATTGTCACGGCCGTCGAACAACTACTTCTTAATAGACCGACGGTCGACGAACCTCGGCTAACTTCACGCTCTGAGTCGATGTCTCACCCAACCAGGAGGGCGCAGACGTCGAAAGGGGTGTAACTACGGCGTACTTCGGCGTAGTTACTCTAACTAGGGTTTTGATCTACTGATGGCGATGTATCTTGATTTATAGCTATCTCTATCTGTCTTTTACTACTGACAACAATCAAGGATCGCTGAAGAACTTCAGCGATCTTCTCAGCTAATATTATCTACTCCTCCTAGACGTTCATCCAACCCTCTCGCGCTTTGACGTACTTCAACGCACTTCGTCCAACTTCCCCGAGCCCTCGGCCATCCTCTTCCTCCTTCGACTAACTCCGCCTAACATCGCCGCACTTCTGCTCCCATTGTCCCTACTTAGCCTAACTCCGTCTAACTTCGCCGTACTTCTGCTCCCATTGTCCCTACTTAGACTAACTCCGCCTAACATCGCCGCACTTCTGCTCCCATTGTCCCTACCTAGCCTAACTCCGTCTAACTTCGCCGTACTTGGTCTCAGAAGTCCTGAGTTACGTGTAGAGTAAAGAGGTTAAGACGTGATGGGGGTTTTGATGGTCAAAGGAGGGTCATTGTTGGTGGAATAATCGAGGTGTCACGACGTAGTTCGTGACAGTCGCCCCCTTCTTTAGCCGCGAACGTCCTCGTGAGCGATTACACCTCTGTCGTGTCAAGAGAACTTAGCAGCGTAGTACCCCATTCTCTCCCTCCCCATGACCATCTTTCACCCTTCTGCTCCTTGCGCCGCACTTCGTAGTTGGGCCTCCTTTCACTCCAAAACCCGACAATGAGACTCCCCTAACTTCGTCGAGGTTTGCCGTAAGAAGCCCTGTGTCTTTTGTAGGTGAGACACGCTTCCTGAATGGCAGCCGAACAACACCGTTGTTTGTCGAAGTAACCCTCGCTTATATTGAGATGAGACACTATAGCGTGGGAATTTTGATCGTCCCTGCGATGCCTTTTGTTGATGAAACGCGAAGTTTGCCGCATGTTGACGACGAGGGTTTAGGTTTGATTATACTAAATACTGAGCAGTTCGCCGAGCTTCTCTCTTTTTCCCATCTGCTTTCAAAACTTTCTATCTCTCTTACCTAGAAAACAGATTTGTTACCTTGAATCATCTTTTATTTCTTTAAGTATTTTTAACGTCATGGCCCCTCCTACCCCCACCTCTAACCCTTTCGCCGCCATGAGGAACTTTGGTGGTATGGTGTCGTCTGCTCGTGAGTTATTCCTCGACACTTACCTTACTTCGCCGGACTTGGCTGATGTTCAGTTTCCTTCGGCGATAGATCTCGCCAAGTCTCCTCCCTCGGCCTCGGCACCCTCTCTTTGGGGGAGCCGTCTGGCGATGTCCCGCCTCCTCGCTCCGCTTCTCCTCCCGTCGGTCCTCCCGCTGGTTCTCCCTCTGCTTCTCCTCCTCCTGGTTCTCGCCCTGCTTCCCCTCCTGCCGCCAGCCCTCGCCGCAGGACGCCCGCCTTTCGTCCTGGTGAGTCTCCGTCCTCCTCCGACCAGGAGTCGCTCAGTGGTTCGGAGTCGGACGATCAGTCAGACTTCGAAGGAAAAGGGGGTGATTATAGTGATGAGGATGATAGAATCGTGTCGGAGGGTGAAACCGAGTTAGAGGAACACTCGGATGATGATATGGTGGCGGTTAGTGTAGAGGACAACAACGTAGATAGTCCTGAGCGTGAGTTCTTCGTCCAACCTCTCACACCTTCGCCGAACTTGGCCTTGTTTATCTGTTCTTTAGCTCTCCAAGACATTGCTAACTCGCAGCCGCTCCTGCCCCTCCCCCTGCTCAAATTGTGGGCCAGAAACGACGCCGTTCGCTCTCCTCTTCTTCTTCTTCCTCTTCTTCTTCTTCCTCTTCTTCTTCCTCTTCCGGGGTTCTCCCCCCCCCCAACGCCATCGCTGCTGCCGCCGCTGCTGCCGCCGCTGCTGCCGCCGCCGCTCCTGCTGCCGCCGCCGGTCCTGCTCCCGCCGCCGGTCCTGCTCCCGCCGCCCCTGTCGCTGCTCCCCCCCCTTCTCCCAGAGGGGAGCCTTCGCCCAAACGGGTGAAGAGATCACTGCGGGAAGAAGAGTACTTGTGGGAGAAGATGAAGTCCGAGCCTGGTCGTTGGATCGCGGTTGGTGTTGACGAAGCGTGTGATCGTTGCCGGTGAGTCCACCTATTCGTACTACGCCTAAGTTACTCCTGCTAATTAGTAGACGTGAGATTATCACGTATAATCGTCCAAATTGGCCCTGCCTCAAGGCAGTCAGGCCACACAACAAGGCCCTCCGTTGTGCTTCATGCACGTCTGGCCCCTGCTCCTTCTGTCCCGTTTCCTCTGCCCGGGACATCCCGCCCCGTCCCTTCGACGCTTCTCCTCTCCCCCCTCCCCAGACTCCAGCGTCTGTCCCCCGTTCGCGGGTACCGTCTTCGTCTCTCCGGTCGGTTCGCCGTACTTCGCCGGACCTCCGCCCGTCGCCTCCGTCGCCGTCGCCCTTCGCTCCTGTGGCCGGCCCATCACGTCTCCCGGCTGTTCCTCCTTCGTCTTCTCGCCGTCCTTCGGCCTCTGCTCCTTCGGCCTCCCGTCCTTCGGCGCCACGTCCGTCCTCTCCAGTGGTAGCTTCTCCTCCGGCTCACAGCACCCGAAGTCGGCGTCCTTCTGTTCCTCCGGCCTCTTCGGCGGCCCCTCCCGTCACCCCTCCCTCTGCTTCCCAGAAGACACCGAAGTCTTCTTTAAAGAAATCAAAAGGGAAATCTAAAGAGAAGGAGGTTGCCTTCAATGATGGTGATGTGGAAAATGAAGATACTCAGCGTGCTGGTCCCTCTGCTCCCCGGTTGTCCCTCGTCCACCCTCGTATCTCCCTGGACGTCCGTATTCCTGAGGACGAAAAGGAATTCGCCACTTATCGTTCTCTCGTCCTCGGTCTCACTACTCAGCTTGAGGCCGCCCGAAATGATACATCTCTCCTGCTTGACTTCTCTTCTCGTCAAGCTAACGCTTTAAAACAATCTTACTGCGGCGTTAGTAGATGTAGTCAACACTGGGGCTCTGGACGACGAAGCAAGGACAAGGTTAGCGGCCGTCTCTCGCCGAAGCCTTACTGAGATAGCCGATGTTCGCCGAAGACTGTTCGACGCCCCCTTCCTAGTCACCCCTATGGCGTATGAGCCACCACCGTCCCTTGACTGGTTAGGTCGCCGTAGTAATTCTCGTGTCCCAGCTTCCGCCCAGACTGCTCTCGACCTCCTCAGTCTTCCCTTCGAGTGTCTACGGACCATACGTTCTCTGTGGAGGACCCCGAGCATGCAAGCTGCTCGAGATGTCCAGGACTTCGGTGACTTCTTTGGGGCTATGAATCGGGCATGGAATGCTTCTCTCTCTACTGCGTTCCCGTCTGAGACTCTCGACCTACCTTCGGTCATCGGTAGCCTCCACACCAATCCCGCGGGACCGAGTAGATCGAAGGAGAAAGGAAAAGGAAAAGGTAAGGGTAAGAGTAAGGACAAGTGAGCGGTACGTAGCTGTAATCCTATGTTGTATGCAGTACGTTCTATCTCCTAGCCCTTCGCAGTCGCCCTTCCTTCGGCTTAGTAGGGTGAAGTTCGTGGAACTTCGCCAATATGTCATCAGCTCCATCGACGTTCTCCACTGGTTCCCATGATACTGAATCGTCTGTTCCTTCGTAACCTAACCACTCTACCAAGTACTCTAACTTTCCTGACCTCTTATTTACTCTAGAGTCCACAATATCCTTTACCTCCCAAGACTCTCCCTCATTGTCTACTTCTACTGGCCCAGGTGGCTCAGCTTGCTGACCAGGAAATATTGGAGGGTGATAAGGACGGAGCAAGGAGACATGGAATACATCATGGATACCTGCCATCGTTCCTGGTAATTCCAATTTACAAGCATGAGAACCTACCTGCCGTACTACCTTGTACGGCCCACTTTGCTTAACATCTAACTTCTTCATTGGTCTCTTCGTCTTAATATTCTCTAACGACAGCATCACTAGGTCTCCTTCCGCGAAGTTCGGCGTAGTCCGGTGTTTCCTATTGTATCCTTTGGCGTACTTCTCATTAGCTTTCTCAATTCCTTCGATACAATCTTTGTGTATTTCAGTCAATCTTTACC